CTGCGGCCATCATTCCTTCGCTCCAGAATTTGCGCCTGATCTTAAGTTCTCACCTCCATAAGAATCCTCCATTAGGTCCCAAAACCTGGAGCTACAAACGACGTGTTTTGGAAGCTGAGCTCCAGACCCACTGCACAGCACAGGCAACGTGGGGCCCATGTGGACGGCCAGCTCTTGTTCATTGTGGTGGTTCAGACTGAAGAATCCAGAACAGTGGTGTTTTAGTTCACCGTTTTGGGAGCACGATCCGCACAGTCTCTCTCTCTCTCTCTCTCTCTCTCTCTCTCTCTTGCAGAAGAAAGCTTGTGAACGATGTGCAGATGGTTTGTAGATGACGCATCTGCCCAGCATGTATAATTGAGAGCAGCGTATGAACTGGTTTGGTGTTCATGAAGGGGCCTGGGCAAAGTGAGGAAGGAGTTGATGAACACGCATGTGTGTCTAGCTGTCTAGAAGAGGGCACGACCAACTTATTCTGCATAGTTTCAAAGTTGGGTTTGTACATTTGAAGAAGTCAAACGTTGAGAGTGGGATTCTTTCTGATTCCCGTTAAGTTTTATCGGAGTACAGTCCCGTTATTCTGCTTTTGGATCAGTTAAGGTGAAGCTCACTGGACTGTAAGTGGAGATCTATGCTCTAGGACCCACTGATATTGATCCGCACGGCTCTTGTGTTTGGAAGGTTGGGCAGCTATGGGCCCAACAATGAGCACTTTTGTTTCACGCGGCATAGTTGCCGCAGAATTCCTCTCAACAATACATTTAAATATTTACACAAAGAAGAACATATATATATATATATATATATTCATACACATACATACATATATATCACTATCCACCTAATTTACTAGCTCTACGGCAGTACAATTTCATGTCGAGGAAAAGTTTTGTATTTCTCCGTTTACATCCATTGGGGAAGTCTAACTTTACCGACAAAGTGAGAACTGAATGCGGACAAGGGTTCCTCTGTGGATTCGACAAAGGAACCGAGTAACTGCTCAAAGCATCTCCTGGTTTTGTTTATTTGGGTATCTCTTCATGCTGCTTTGTTGGAAGCTGTTCTAGTGAGCTAGACTTCCTCCTGTCGTTACGTAGGCATCTACTAAGCCCAACACTGGAACACTTCCACTCGTGTTTAATTAAGGCTACAGAATCCATGGGACGCGTCACTGAAAATGGTTATTTCTCCAGGAGCTGCAGCCATGGGTGTTTTTTTGCCAGAGGCACTATTGTTGTGTTCTTCTATAAAAAGGAGGAACCCGGAGTGTAGTATATGAGATAATCCCATTGCAACCTCTCACAACGTCACAAGACTGATCTCAAAATCGTCACAAGACGGATCACAGATCCACAATACCCACTCCAATTGGCAGTGGAATGAAAATGAGGAAAGTCTACTTTGCCTTGTGCGGGTTGGATTACTGGATTTTAATCAAAATTTTAAACTCCCTTTAGAGTTTCATCACCAAATGTTGTGCTGGATAGTTTTTGATTTGTTTAGTTTTGTTTTTGTTTGTCATTGGTTGACACTGAAGGGGGTGTTTTGGGAGTGTTTTGGGTGTCATGTCTCTTTGTAATAAATATCAATTATTTTCTTTTATTTTTAGCAAAAAACATTTTGTCAAAAAAGATATTTGTAGTAAAGAGATGAGATGCTTTGATATAGAAGGTATTGAAGGATACAATTTGTTAAGAGGATAGGAGGAAGATAGGGCATAATTTTCAGAAATTATTGATTGAAGACATTTAGGAGAAGTTGGAAAGTCATGAACATTGCATAAAGTTTTTTTTTCTTTTTCTAAAATTGTCTTTTTAAAAAAATCATAGTTTAAAAAATTCATTTGTAATTAAGATATAAGATGATTATATATATATATATATATATATATATATATATATATATATATATAGTTTTAAAAAGATTTATATCCTTTTTTAAAAGAAGAACATTTAAAAAGCATCAATTTTTTTTGGATTGTTATTAAATCACCTATTTATTTATATTTTTTAAAAAAAAACATTCTTGTGAGTGCATTCTCATCCTTTGAAATCCTTGATTGTAGATGAATGTGCAAGTTTTTTATTTGATGAATTTTTTTTAACAATTTATCTCTTGGTCAATTTTCTAATTTGTCAATAATTATTAATTTAAAAGATATAATATAGAAAGTGAATCACTAATTTAAATGAATATTTCACAAATCATATGTAACTTGTTTGTAGCTATTTTAAAATTTTGACTTATATTTTATCATCTTTTATTATTTCTTTTAGTAGTAAAGTCTATTAGTTGCATATATAAATATAATAGATGTTAAATAGAAGTATTATATGTACAATTTATATTTAAAAAAATCTATATGATCCAACAAAAAAATAGTCGAATTTTAATCAATTTGTGCTTCTAGAAATAATTATATTAGAATTAGAAGTTGAAATAAATAGTTTTGACAAACCTACTTCTATTTGTCTTATATTTAGATGAATTTTATGAATGTTGTAATGATTTTTTGATAAAAATTTTCATTATGATTTTATTTTGTTATTATAAAAATAGTAAATTAAATCATAATTAATTAATATTTTTAATTTTAAATATTAAGATTTAGATTTAGAAATTAAAATTAATTGTACATATACTAAGCATGTTATAGATTTCTTTTGGGATTGTTAAAAAGTTGTTGAGCATATAGAAAATAATACATATAATTAACCTGGTTGACTATTTTTTATTTTTATTTTTTTGTTTTTTTTTATCTAATCTATTTTTCTACTGCAACATAGAAAAGATAAGAAGAAAAGAAATGGATGTAACATACAGTTTTTTTTAAAAAAATTAATTTTTAATATATTTTTGATTAGTTGAATATGTTTATATGCATAAATATATATATATATATATATATATATATAGGTTCAAAGTGAAATAGAAGAATATAGGGAAGAAGAAAAATATATTAAAAGCTGCAACTTAATTGGTATTTTTTATTAAAAAAAAAATAAAAATGATAGAAGATTAATACAAGGTGGAGGTGTGTACTTTAATTTTTTTCTCAAGTAGACATGTATATAAGAAGATGGAAGAAGGATGAAAATATTTGGTATGTAAGTTATTTTTACTTATGTAAATAAAATAGATTTAAAGATCAAAAGAATTTATCAAGACTAATTTGATAAATTTCTTATAAAAAAACAGAAACAAATTGTCTGAAGTATACTTGATTTAAGATTAGTCTAATTTATGTAGATAAATATTTTGTTGAGGTTGTAAAGAAATGCATTGCAAATTTTGCATTTATAAAAAGAATACATTTTAACTAAATACAAACTGAATATAAACTTGATAATGCAGTTTGTATTTAGTTACAGAACTTATTCACATTGATTTAAAGCTGCCTGCAGAGCTCAATTGTTTTGCATGTTCTTCAAGTTAATTTTTTTGGTGAATATTTTTTCCATTTTTCTTTTTTCTTTCTACTAATAAGATGTCATATATATATATATATATATATCACTTTTTTTTATAAATTCTTTTATTCCTAAAAATGACTTTATCACAGTATAACTATCAAAGAAAACATATAAAACATAGAAGTTTAAGGTTAAAAATGAAATTGGAGTTTGGTTTAAAAATTATATAAATAATCAACTCATGTTGTAAATGATATAATTTTAAACTGAAATTATAATGCATAAATTTAAATTTTTATATTTATATATTTATAATCTCACACAATGTTTTAAGTTTGATGGTTTTACTTCCAAGAGCCCAACTCTTTCTGAAACTGAAACATATTTTTTGTTTGTTTACCTTCAGAATAAGAAAACTTACAGCTTTCTTAATCGTTTGTAAATGTAGTGAATTATTATCCTGAAATTTTGAATAAATTCTCCCACCCATGCTTCATTTTTGCTTTATTTTCAAAAGAACATTCTCTCTCTGTAAGTTTGAGTCTTTTAAAAAAACTATTCTGAAAATCCACCATATCCAAGAAAACATAAGAATATATATACTATTTTAATTTCTATATCACATTCTTCCTCAATAAAACTATGTTAAGATTCACATCACAAAGAAAAAAAATGTGTAGAGTGATGCTCGTAAATCAATCATATCCACAAAAATCCTTCCACCCAATTAACAACCTTCAAAACATGGACAAAAATACACACAAAAGTTTACAAAAACATAACTAAATTCATCTCATTATAGCCTCACAACTTGATGGCTATAATGATGAGCCATATCACATGATGGCCATAATGTGGGCAGTTTTGGGGACTGCATGACAATATTGTAGGGCAATTAGTCCAATATTGGTCCACTACAGAACTACCTAATGCATTTTAAAGCTAGTGGTTATATATGACCTTCTAAAATCCATATCAATTCATTTTTTTAACATTATATATATATGCTTCAAAAACATGTAAAAAGTGCATCTGTCTACCATTCATTTTTGAAGTAAGGTTTTTTTTTTTTTTTTTTTAAATTATATAATTTTCTGAAACAATTCCTTTGTTAGTTTTTAAACTACCTACTTCTTGAAAACAATTTAGGTGAAGGTGTTATAAATGTCTCCTTGCTCTAAGATTTTGCATGCATGTGCTCAATTTGAGGATATCTTTGAAAAAACATTCTCCCAAAAACTTTGGAATCACAAGTAGGAATTGTGCCTGGCACAAGTTTCACTATGCCTTTCATGCAACACCAAAAAAATAAACTTTTCCCTCAACTTTGAACATTCCAATCTCCCAAATGCAATGACCTCAACACCTAATATATGGAAGACTGACCCTAATATAAGTTAAGAACAAGATCTTATGGTTGAAAATGTTGAAAATGCTAAAAAAAGATTTGGAAGGCAAGATAACACAAGGAACTTCAAGGATCAGGGATTAATCCAAGGTCTCATCATTTATTCATTTTGATTAGATGACTTTCTTAACATCCCATTCTGAACAGACATCTGAAAACTGCACAGTAGTTTGGGCATGTGTACCAAACAAAACAACAAATAAATAAAAATAAAATAATAATAATTCAGACAAGAAAAAAAACAAGAACAAACAAAAGCAAAACACTGGCTGGGAACAGTGTCCATTAGGCAGGGAGGGAGGGAATCAGACTCAGTGTGCCATAGTTCAGAAGAAGCACCTGAGCTGGTGCAGCATCAGCATGGTAGCCAGGGCGGTGGTGGAGGCATCTCATGATCATCGTCAATGGGGAGGGAGGGCCTTCAATGAGAGCTTGGAAGCCATAACCCGGCCACACATAACTTAACACCATGAGACACACAGCCATGATCAAGGTGCCTCCCAGCCAGCCAGCAGCCCAGTGCCACCAGGTTAGTTGTAGGATATATCTGTCTCTCCCCCTCCCCCTCAGCTCCACCTTCCTGTTCCTGCACTCTCTGCCACTGGCCAAGGAATTTAATAGAGAATGATCTCGTGTCCCGAGGCCGCTTCTCTGCTGCCGATCAAGGCTCGTCAGAATGATCAGTGCTTCGTGGCCGGCAGTGCAGCTTGAAGCTTATTGTGGTACCCACAGAGAGAGAGTGTGTGAGAGAGAGAGAAGGAGGGAGGTGGCCAGGACATGGCATGCTGCATGGCTCTTCTGTGCAAGTCGCCTCTTCACCTTTTTAGTTGAGTTTCGCTGTCCACCCCAGCAGCATGCGAGAGGAAGCTCAAAAGTCTCGTTATGTTGAGGTCGAGAGTAGGGTGTGGTGCTCACAGTCCTTGCACAGCACATTATCACCATTACCAACGTTGTGCATATCAGATCTTGAATACAACAGATTACAATGTTGATAATGTGTTGACTGTGAATTGTACGTAGCGCCACCGCCCCCAACTGTTTCATCATCAGAACAACGGACTTTGAAACATGAGTGTTGTCTCGAAGACACAGGTCATGGATAATTTTGAAATACGCCGATATGGTAGAAGTTCTTATTCCGACAGTACATGGGAAATCATGAGTTGATTTCTCATCTCCAAGGTCGTGGCACCTGATCTCATGTCTGAAGCAAACTGCTCTTGCACCAGGGGACAAATCTTTCTGCAAAAAAGATTTTTTCTACATACAAACAGAGCTGGTTCGCATCATTAGTCAAAACTAATAGAACATGTAATGCTTGTTGGAGCTATTGAAACTCTCATGGTGATCACAACTGTCATCATGGAAGACATCCACCCTTGTGTGCCACAGCCAGAAACCCAAGTCTCGCAGAAAACTCAAATCGAATGCTCATTTCATCCAAGTTTAAGTTACACTTACGTTAAACAGATGGCTAAGCCAGGACGTCAAAGATGACTGTATTGTAAATTAACGGAAGGAGGACCTAAGCCTCAGACTTTTAGAAAACAGTATCCCATCTCTGGTGGAATCATGAACTTCAGCACAAGAGGGACTTCCATTAAAAGCAAAACTCCTGCTTGATTTGCAGATATCTAAATTCTGCAATCAGACTATACTTAATGTTCTTTTTAGTACACTAGCAAACTTGAACTTAGTGAATAAGTAGGACCAAACAAAATGCTCAGATCCCCAAAATTTTACACATCACTTTCTAGACCTTAATAATATTAGTAGCAACGGCATTAATACAAATTATCAGTGAAAGGACCCACTCAGGTCCTCCAAAAGTGCCGCATGATGATACTGGTTAACATAGGGTGCACGCAGATTGAAGTCCACCAGGTTCCATACTTGGGATTCTGAGGATCATCCGCCCACTATGGCCTGGTCGAAATTACATCCTCTGGGAAAACAGGAGTGAGCTCCCCAATTCTCTTCAACTAAATTTGCTTCCCAACCATGAAGACGAGATAGCCGTCTGAAAGGATCACTCCTATGGTTGGGCAAACTACATCGCCTAGCTGAAAGACGTCACACCCGGCTCCTCATAACTTAGAATGAACTGCAGCTGTTGTAACAGCCACGAATATTATAGATCCTAAAGGCCAAGCTTTTCCAATGGTTGCACAAGGCCCCGTTCCAAAACAATGAAAGCTAAATTGACATCTGTTGTTATTGATGTTCTTTCTTAGGTGCTACCTAGTGACAACACAGATAATATAAGAGTAGTTCTTCAGATTAATTGTTCGTGTAGGCAGCAAAAGTTGTTCAACCGATATAGCTCACGAACGCTACCTTCGTAAAACATTCACAACTTGACTACCCCAAAATTTCACGTCTTGCATTTCAGACAGCACGTTTAATTCTATCCTTCTAGCACACTCTAATTTCGCGAGGATGGAATATAGAAGCTAGCCCAGGCCACAAGAACAATAAACTTTGGACGTTCAAAGCACCACTTCAAGACGGGAACTACACTTCTTCACAGTGGAATAAACAATCCATGTGAACAAATCAACGCAATGAGACTGAAATAACAGGATACCTTAATTTATTAAATAGCCTGTATGGGCGTTGTCACCTGCTGCAGAGCCAGCCACTGATACTCCTAACAAAGGCCCCGAAGTAGATTGGACCGAGAAAAAAATTGTGGATGGATTTGAAATTGAAGAGGCCATAGTGAGACGAAGCCAGCTGCGCAACGAGTAGCAGACCCGTAACAAACAAAAAGCTTGCTGAAACAGTTATACTACAACCTCAATCAGTCTTTGCGGCACTTCCAGCTGACTGAGGCGTGTCTTGATCTTGGGCTTGGTTTTTCGTCATGCTAGCTCTAGCCTTGGACAAGAAGGCAGGATCAGGATGTGGTGCTGCTGCCACTGGCTTCTCTCGCAGCGCTAAGATGATGTAAAATATGATCACAACGTTAACTGACAGAACTGCAAGTAATCCGCTCCACAATGTAGTCGACTGCTGAGACAACCCTTCACTGCCCGGGAATAGCTTGTGATTGAAAGCGTACAAAACCCAAAGGGGCAATGCCCACATCAACAACGACGTGACGCCGAATAAGACCAATACTTGTACCCCCATTCTAAAGAAATGTATGTCAATTCTCAGACCTGCATCGATAAAGAAAAAGGAGAATTTATTAAAAGGACCAATGCATCAACATCCAATACTCCAATAGGAAATATACAAAGTAGATTGCAATCTAAAGAACAATCCCTAATAAAATCTTGTCTCCTACACCAAGGCGAATTCTCTCAGGTACCGTTCAATTCTATACAAAGGCTCCAATACGAAGTGGTTGAATTTGAGCGAAGGACGACCAAATCCGATGCCTCAACAGCTGAACTTCAAAAAGACATGACAGCAAAATTTCCAGTGCGCAAATAGGTTCGCTGATCTACTATCTAAATCATGGACACTAAAAACACTCAACAAAGCTGAGAAACTACGTACCACTCGCGGGTTTGCTCACAGAACCCTAAATTTTAAATCTAAGGTTTTTAAACAGCAGGACATAAAAGCAAAACGCTGGCGATCTAACCATTGATGACCATTGCCAGCCTTACAAGAATTACACGATTAGGGGTTGAAAAAATGCTAACCCAGAGCTTTTCAGAAAATGTTGGGAATCCAAATTTCTCTGCAAACCACTGAAAAAATGGAAGTGAATGTCGCATGCACAAGCGTGGAACACGCGGCGATGGGGTAAGGCGATGCCGATGAACCCAGAATCCGCCACACCATGAAATGCTCCTTGTGTCACCGGGATGATTGCTCCATTCTAAGACCAAGAGAAATTTTCGAATAATAACGCAAAAGCGACACACTGCGAATATTCGCAACACCACCCAAACCCTATATAACTAGTTTCAGGATTAAACTAGGTTTAGGGTCTAGGGTGAGCCTGAAGTTCCTCTTGACGTGACTTTTACAGAGTTAGTTGATCGTAAGTTCAGCTCAACGAGTGAGATCCTCATTGAGAAACTGATTGTTTATGTTTGTAACTGGACTCCGCATACATAATTGATGCTAGAATAACATTTTAGACATAAGATTAATCTAAATTCCTGAGCTGCGTGTTTTGGTGCAAGAACACAGTTCTCGTTAAGCTTGATTTTTTTGGCAACAAGCCTTTCAACGCGCATTTGGCAGTTGTCACACTCTCACGAGAAGCAAGTACCTTTTTTCTATGCAGTCGCGCCTTTAAGAAGGCGCATGCGAGTATCGGATGTATCACCAAGTACTTGCGAGCTGCTTGTGGAAGTTTACGAAGAGGTCAGGCCAGATTCGTCTTTCTGATTCCACAAGAATCTTTGCTTCAAGAATCCTATCTTTATTTACGAGCGCGAAATTCATCAAACAGTTTAAAGATTCCGAGCTTCACCTATCTCTGAAGACTCGTGTTTTACCAAACGTTGTTGGATTCACATATATCTTGATGATTAACTAATTACCACTACTATTCCTTGGTTTAATGATAAGCACGCGAATAAGATGCAGAAAGCCAACCGATTTGCGGGAACGAGATAATCACTTCGGGACAATACTTCCTTCAAATTAATTAGGTTGTCCGTTTCTGCTGTACTTGGTCTCAATTGCTCTCATATTTTTCCAGGGTGTAATCGAAAGTGGTGGCACGATGCAGCGATGGCAGGGGGGAAGGAAGTCAAAGGGAAGATCGCTCCCCAGAGGTTTCAGGAGATTCAGTTTCAGAAGAGTAAAGGCCAGCATATTCTGAAGAATCCACTTCTTGTGTAGTCCATTGTTCAGGAAGCCGGACTGAAGAGCACAGACATTGTTCTTGAAATTGGTCCTGGAACAAGTAACGCAATTCTCACCACGTCCGCTAATAATGCTTCTGATGAAGGGTTTTGTGAACTCGTGCTCAGTTTATTTTCCATCTGTGTACAGAAGAGGATACTCATCAACAATTACATAGCAATTGATATCTGAACTAGTCTCTGCATGTGCATTTGTTCTGAAGCACGCAATGAAATTCTTAAAGTTCTCATGAGACTGGCTGTGGAAGGATATTACACATGCCAGCGTCGAAGTTTGTTCAAAAAGACCTCACTCCTCTTCTCTACCATCCGTGTCTCTTACGCTGATGTTTCGCTTCTTCTAGGAAATCTAACAATGAAGCTGTTGGAGGTTTGTAAGGTCATCGCCGTAGAGCTTGATCCTCGCATGGTGTTGGAGGTCACCCGGCGCGTTCAGGGCACTCCTTGTGCAAATAAGCTCCAGGTATGGATGTTGGCAGTAAGTCTTATTGTGCTTGATAATTTTGTCGTGATTTCCGATAGTGGGGGCTGGGAAGCATATTTAGATGCTGGTGGATGCATACATCATGGACGAAGACATTACTTTACCATTCTTTTCAATGGTTTAGGTTGTAGGTTGCAGACCTTGATACTGCTGGTTTGGATGTAATCTCTATGGCTGTAGAATCAAGCATGATATATGTTTATTTTCATGCAGGTTATACAATGCTATATTTTGAAAACGGAACTACCTTACTTCGATGTGTGTGTTGCCAACGTACCATATATGATCTCGTCTCCAATCACTTTTAAGCTGTTGTCCCACCCGCCACTCGTCCGCTGCGCAGTCATTTTGTTTCAGGAGGAGTTCGCACAGCACTTGGTTGCTCAGCCTGGAGACTCGCTCTTCTGCCGGCTTTCAGCCAATACGCAGCTATTGGCTCGTGTCTTTCATCTCTTGAAGGTCGGTGGCTTTCTGACCTTCTTCACTGCGCATCGTTGAAAATAGTTATGTTTAAACTTTCAATTGTTCACATTTCGTCGCCACACCAAGTAACCGATGGGCCTACTTCTGGTGCAACCAGGTGGGCAAGAACAACCTCCGGCCACCTCCAAAGGTAGATTCGTCAGTAGTTCGGATTGAGCCTCGTAATCCCCTGCCTCCCATCAATTTCATTTGTATTTAGGATTTTAAAATAAATATTATATTCTTTTAAAAACTTCTTTAATCTTCTATAGTAATATGATAATGAAAGATTTTATAGAATCTAGTCACACCAAAATAAATTTTAAATTTTTTTAAAAAAACTCAATTTTATTAACATATATTTTCAAACAATCTAAATATAATAAAAAATAGTCTTTTTTATATACTACCTTTTTATTTTAGATCTTGATTCTCTTATATTACTTAAAGGTTATTTATTCTTTTATTCTTTATATTAATTTTAAAATATACAAACTATCATGTTATTTTTCTTCTTAGCATAATATTGAATCTATTGCCTAACCTACTCTAAAAAGAATTCCAATCTTTCATTTCCAAAAAACAAGTCTTAACCAAAAAAACCTCCATAACCATGCATCATTTATTTAATGTCTTTCTTGTTCATAAAACAAATAAATACACTACTACTTCCAAACAAAACCTTCTGATACTCAAATTTGACTTCACAAACTTACCAATATTACTTCTTGTAAAACTCCCATACTTCTTGTAAAACTGAAACCAAAATTAACAAAATTCAATCTTCATCCTCTTTCACACTCAAATTCTAAATAGCCTGTGTAGAACCTGGTTTAATATTAATTGTCATGGTTAAGTTGCACACAAACGCTTCCATCTCTAGATCTATACAGAGCTCAGCACATATGTCTACTGTAATTGTGATACTAAGTTTTACGTTCTCAGCTCTACAACCATGTTAAAAACAAAACAAAAAAAAACTATAAGTAAAGAACGAGGGGAAAACTTCAGCTTCTAGTGAAACTCAAGTCCCCGTCACTTCAATACGTGTATGTTGTTCATAAACATACAAAGAGTTGGTTTAGTGAGTAATTTCTAAATCCTCTTCTGAAAGCATCTAACAGGACCCAGTTGGCAATTTACTTAAAATATAAAAAATATACTCAGCATTCAGGATTTAAATCTCATGTTTTGTTCTTGGTTAAGAGTTCTAATGTGCATTCAATGCAAAAGACCTTCCAGTTGCTGATGAAGCGTTGCATCGAATGCCCAGAGGCAGTCCACCAAGCACCTGGCCGCATCGTACCCGTTGGGTGCTAACCTTTGGCACTGAGAGGATGTGAACCGGAGTACCAAACAGAAACAAGGGAAGCAGAGAACTGAAACCTCAAGAGAGTTCATAATTCTTGCTTCGAAGTGGAATGTGAACGTCTTTGTGGTTCAAAACTGGAATGAGTTTTATACCAATCTCATCAACACAGTCGTCATTCACTTGCCTAAGCAGAAACCATGTGAAGGCAGACAAGCTCTAGTTTGAGATCTTTCAAGGTGGGATCTTCGCTGTTTCAACTCTAATCCAAAGGCACTAGTGGGTAAAATTTCTCAGGCTTCTGCATTTCGTGCTGGAAACTCATTTCTGAAAGGTTTAGGGTTATCCCTCCTCGATTAGGTGAAATTCGTTTCGGAATTGCTTGACGTCTGGATGCCTTCATTTTTGTTCCTTCTCGTTGTGTGTCCTTTTTATGAAGATCTCGACTTTTCTGCTAGATTGTTATAGAATTTGACTAACGAATGAATAGTGCCGTGGATATTTGAACATAACCTGAGTCTATTACGTTATAATATAACTTTTAATGTAGAATGGCTAAGGTGATCATCTACCACAAACTTACCCATGGATTTCGTCAAACAATATGGAATACTCCTGTGAGTCAGGTTTGAGGAAGGCATTGAATTTGTTCTTGTATCTATGAGCCTTGTCATATCTGTCCTTATTTCATCCATTTTTACCATAATTTTTTTTCCAGCATAAAAACCCTCTTGTTTGACACTGCTAGGAATTGGCGCTGTTCTGAAGAAATGGATACTCCGCCATCAGGGAGACAGAAAGGGCAGCGACCTCGCATGCTCGTCTGCTACCTTTGTAGTGGAGAATTCGGCAGCAAGAGGTGACTACCTTCCTTCGTAGCGTAACTGGCATAATTGAATGGGATAATCATAAGAGCGCATCGCCAACAGTCCTAGTAGCCGTAGGACAGATGTGAGATCTAAAAGACCTAATGGAAGCGCAGTTTACCTATACATATCCCTCAATGTCAGAAAAAGTGGCTGCGGGAAGAAGGGCTGAAGGCCAAGAAGGAACGCCGTCCTCTGCCATGGCCGCCTGCTACTGAGCAACCCATCACTACTGGTGGAGGTAGTCCATCTGCTCAACAGATTGACAACTTTAACGATGAGTAAGCTCAATCTCAGACTCTACCCGTTATATGTCAAATATTTCCTCCAAATCATTTCCGAGATTGTGAAGAGGATATGTTACCACAATTTGATGCAGGGCCCGAGCAGCATTTGAGGCGAGTTTGGAACGTTGCCCTCATTGCCAGCGACGTTTTGTTCCCAAGGCCTTTCAGCATCACTCGAAATCGTGCACTACTAGAAATCCTGCCAAGCCTGCAGGCACTGGTCTCACTTCTATGTCATTAACCAACAGGCTAGTTCCCGGTGCAATTGCTGGATCTAAGCATGGAAATGCAAGTAAGTATTCCTGGCTTTCTTCACTACACCACTGGAGTTTTACCTGCCGACAATGCCAATCGAGTCCAGCAAACATCAGAGTTGGACAAGTGTGCTTCATTGACGAGGTCCTTCTTGTCTGGTGCTATGTGCTATATATTTGTTTAAGCTCCTGAATCATTTCGCGAAGTTCATCATCGATGTTGCACAGCTGTACAACCTCCACCGCTCTCTGAAATGGGTATTAAAAGATTGAAGGTGCTGAAGAAACAAACAGCCACCAATGCGAGTTCTTCGGTCCTTCAAAGGGACCCTGTAAGATGAGACAAAACCTTTAGTTTTTACAGTCCTTTGAATGAATCCATTGTTTATGAAAGATGATCACCTAGTTGTAGATGCGGTTGGATTCCACCCCATCTTGAGTCTTATGATTTGCAGGATCATTCACCTGCTCACAGGGTCAATCCTCAAAGTTGAGTGTGGCTTGTAACGATTGCGGGTTGAAGTATGAGCGACCGGATTCCATATTTTGTTCTTCATGCGAAAGTAAACGAGCTGGTACTTGAATTTTCTCCATAAGTAGATTGTGAAGAACTTTCTTTTTGATTCAAATGGTAGAAGGCTGTGTCGCCCGGTCCTTGTATTTGTTGAGTTACAGTTACAGCTCCTGCAGGATCGGTGATATGATGAAAGACATTTGTGAGCAGTATGCGAACCTCTGTGTTTTACGTCCATAGACTGATCCGTTACCTGAAACTTAATGATGGGTGGGCAAGGAGACCGGCGTTCACCAACGAGTTCGAAAAGTCACAAGGGGGCAGAGACTGAGCCAAGTCTTGCTTTTAGTGAAGACAACGCCGCAGACGATCTTTCTGTAGAAATCACAACACCACGTAACTCATAAATATTGCTGTTCGAATGAAAGCTTTTCACTTTTGGCGTTTCCGTAAACAGCGTGGGTCGGCACATGGTTGGCGTTATGGAGTGTCATGGACGCTTAGACTGCAAGTAAGCGTCCTGTTATCGAGAATTTGAGCTAACCTCGACTTTATCTTTCACTGGAATTCTAGGTGGCTCAAATTTCACTGAAAAAGTTCTCGATCGCAACGTGATAGGTTTGCTGTGGGAAAATTTACAATAGTACTGACATTTTATATCAGTGGCGAGAAGATTACAAGCACCTAACAAGTCTCAGTGCGAAATCTGTTACGTCGTCGTTTCAACTGCTGGATATCTGTTTTGATTCTTCTACATTCCATTTCTTAAAGTTCCTACTGTAGTCTCAACTCGCTACCATGTCTATGAGATTTTGCATGCATGTGCTATGTTTTGCACCATTTTTTGAAATTAACCGGAGGAACAAATTCAGAATCACGGCGACATGTATGGCTAGTCATATGATTCCTAAGCGGCATTACTTTCTCCAAAGGGTGCAGTTAGTATCATCGATTGTGTGCCATCAGATCCCATCCTAATGATTAATTGTTTCATTTATCCACGACAAAAATCGGTGAACCTCTGAGGAGTACGTGTGAATTCTAACCTTGATAATGTGGGACATTCTCAAGAACGGCAATAGGATTGAGTTTTCTTGGTAGTAGCTTGACACAGAAAAAAAAAAAGAAGCTGCGGACATGAGGGTAGTCAAGGTTGAGTCGATCGTAGACCTTGGGTTACCAGGATGGATTATAAGGACCAGAAAAACTCTTTGTACGAGTATCAGAGGCGCAATTGCGGCTTCAGATTCCCATTGGTATTCGTATCAGAAGCAGTATCCTTGGGATAAATGTATACGATTGGGCTGTCGATTGTAGAAGAATCCCAGATGCAATCTTTTAGAAAGGGAGCCATACCCCAGCGTTCATTTGCACACCCTCTGGCACGTACTGCAGGATTTTCGAGAACAAAGAATCAGGTGATTATTTTCGTAATGAATTTCGCAGCCGAGTCTAAATGTGCCCCAGCTTACAGCCTTACGTGTGCAATAATAGAAAGAATTCATCGACTGAGTAATAGAGCGATACCTGTCATGCGCAAGGTTTTGCCTTCAAAAATAATATTGAGCTCTTGTTGTATTGAGTAGACATGTTAGCCCTGTGATTGATAGTTTTAGAGGGATTTTTAATTTGGGGATGAATTATTTCCAGGCATTTCTCAGAGAAGGTAACCTTCTCATCGATAGTTCACGCAGTAGTCTCAGCTTCTGAGGAGCTTGCTTTCAAAGTGATTATAGGTGGCCAAGTTACAACACATAGTGGGCAGCTAGATTCAAGTACCGGAGGAGCAATAGGACTTTGACAATAGATTTTGCAGTTGTACAATCGGATGCTGAAAGCTCACTTGCGGCGCTTGAACAATTGTAGGCGCCACTCATCCCACACCTAATCAGTCAAGAAACTTTCCCAACCCATGTATCCGAAATAAATCTTGTTCATGTAAGAAACTCGTTAATCGGAGGATGACCATTCACAATCTCCTAATTGGTTGTTTTACTTCTGGTCACCAGTGCTTCTCAGTAGTCCTAACCATGTTGCTGTATGATGTAGTTCAATCTTCTCTACAAGATAGCTTTCCAATAGAGCACTATTCTGGACAGTTGATGCGACGGAACGCACAGCGGGAAGCTTGTGCATCAAAATGGTTTCTTGAGCAACTTGTGACCATCTAATCTTGACTCCGGACAGTCTAGCCGCTAGAAAGTGACAAACAATTCCTTGAAAAGCTATACCTCGTGGTTGGACATTGCCAGTGCATAGAAAATTACAAAAAAATTGTGGTGTAGAACCTGACAATGACGCAACAAAAGGAGAAATACGAGCACTGGCCCGATGATAAGAATTAAGAGAGAAAATGGGTTGTGCAATAGACAGCATGCTCTGAACGTCCACCTCCACAAAGGCAATCGAGTTGCGCAACTAGGATCAGGTATATCTGGAGACTACCATTTCCCACACACCGAGTATCTTCACCTTTACTAAATGGTGACTCTTCTCCACCTTCACAACGCCACGACAGTTCTTTGAAACTAAGTGTTTCAGGTTTTCGACGTCAAATGGTTTATCGAGGTGGGAAAATAACTTAAGCTTAGTGAAGAGTGTTGCTTCTCTTCTGACTGATCCATTGGTGTTAGACTTCAGCACAGTTTATATACTCCTCGCAAACACTTCACACGCTGCTGATCACTTACCATGTTCTACTGATTAAGCTAGTTACGAAGCTGCTGATGAAGATCTCAATCAAGCTTGAGCATCAAATTGTCAAACAGTTTCAATGGATACATGCCCATCTCATGCAAGTTGTGCAAATGGAATGAACCAATCGTTGCTGTTATGAAGAATCCGTGCCAATTTGGCATTGAACTTTGCCACCAGATAGCACCAGAGTCGGTTATTTCTGCTCGGAGTCTAGTGACGGTGTCGGTGAGGCATCCGATGCGGTGTCGGTATCCGTGTCGGTGAATTTTGTGTGTGGATTAGATGTTATGTTATAGGGAGAAGTGATGTCGGAGGGATTGGATGTTATAAATTATAAAATCAAAAGGCATATTTCAAAAAGTTTGATTAGTAAGTGTTGACAGGTGGTTGTTTTGTAAAAGATGGGACATTTTTAAAACTTTTTTTTAAAGCACAAATGCATATTAAATTATTTGTATAGTAGATACAAAACTTACAAAAAAAAAAAAAAAAAAAAAAAAACACTCTTCAGTATATGTTCACAATTTTTAATAATATAAGTATTAGAATAAATTAATTAAAACTGTTAAAAATACTTGAATTTGAATTATTACTTAATATTTTTTAAAATAACAACATTTTAAATATCTACTTTATTTTTTTATTAAAAACTAAATTTTAATTTCAAAAATACCAAATTAGATTGAATTTTATACAGAATGTTAATTTTTCAATTATTACTTATACATTTTAACTAGTATTTACATTAAAGAAATACAACTTTGATTGCAATAGATTTTAAAAGAATACACAGATTTATTTGAATTTTTATCACTAATAAAATAAAATAAAATATGATAATTATGTGATTTTTTAATTAAAAATATAATATTATAAGATTATATTTATATGTAAATTATAATATATAACAAAAAAAACTTAAATATTTTAATGTACTAATATTAAAACTCAAAAAAAATATTATTATTAATAAAAAAAATATTTGTATAAAAATTTCATAGTAGATTTAACATAGCTATAGATTTTTTAATATTTTTATAAGATATTATTTAAATTTTAATTAAAATCTAAATATTACTGACTATTATATAATAAATTTTGGAAACCACTAAGTAGACATCTTTGTTTTACTGTATAGACGCCTTATGCCACTCATACCTACATAAACATAGTAAAAAAATTATTTTTATCAAAAACATTTATGGTAAATTTATAATAATAAATTTGTGTCTAATGGTTTGTGGCACTTTTTTGAAAAAAATTTGTGTTATATTTCATGTAATTCATTCATTTGCTTTAAAAGGCTTATTAAATTATATATATATATATATATATATATATATATATTTAAATTAATTTCTTTTTTTAGTATAAATAAAAACTTTATTGAATGTAAGAGGAGATATGTGACACAAGGAGGTGTCCATGTAATAAAAGAGAGGTGTCTATCTAGTAGTTCTCTAAATTTATCATAAGATTTAATAGTAATTATCTCACATGTATTATATTTAATTACTATTTTTTTCTTTATATTTTTTATTCTTTGAAAAAAATAAGATATATCCAATTTTTAAGATTAATAAAGGTTAGAAATTTTATCTCAATTTAGTCTCGTATACTTCATTGCTAAGGCAAGAATAAGTACAATACATATTGACACATCTTATTATTATTGTGTAGTTAATTTAAATTATAGAGTTGGAATGTCATGTATAGTTAGGTCACATAGAAAAACTCTTAAATTCTATGTAATATACATATCTAATATAAAACCTAATGCCCATTTTGCTACTTGTTATTTGTTCTACTTCATTAGAAAGTTTTTTATTTTATCAAGTAGTTTTTTATTTTATCATTAAATTATGACATATTCTATTAAGCTTTTCCATATTTGGCTTCATATATGCTTATTATCCCAATTTTCATTTCCATAATTGAATGCATTCTTTTAAATCTATGTTGTCTATAGGCATATTCTATCCATGAAGGACCATATAGAATACAAACAATTAAATTTTTGAAGGCAATTTGGTCACATAAATTGCTTGTTTTGATGTAAAGGATTTTAAAAGACTCCATCTTATACTTGAAGTCATTTTATACATGATTGAAGTGGTCTAGTGTGATTTTCTTCTTAATTTTTGATAGTTCTTATATTTTTTTAGAATTGTTTTTGGCTTTCTAAGTATAAACAATACAAAATTTAGAGATGAATAGACATTTTCTTCAACTCTCTAGGCATTGAAAACCACTCTTCTATGCCATATAAGCTAAATAAGCATGGCTTCTTTGCTAACCATAGGCTTATAAGGTTATTATTTGTTATTTTGATTAAAGGCAAAATTAGTAAAAAGTATTAATTGTCATTTGGTTTTAGTGATGTTTCATAGAAGATGTTCACTATGGATCATTTTCTTTCTTAGTTTAGTAAAATTTTCATGAGATTACCATATGTGTACTAATGGTATTTCTTAAGATTAAGTAATAAATTATCTAGAGCCTTATAAAATTATATATATATATTTTTGACAAAGAGCCTTTATTATAGTTGCTACTCTAATAAACTTGGTATATCTGTCTACAATGATTCATCTCTTTTGAACATTAAATTTTGTAGATATGAATTAGATTTCGAGTAATTTTGGATCATAATATATCATCTTAATGAAGTTTTCTATATGGTAAAACTTGATGTTTAAATTGATTGCTACAACTTATCATTATCTTTCTATAATATTTTAATAACTTGGATTTGAAATTTAAAAAAATAAAATAAAAAAATAAAAAAAATAGAAAGTCTTTTCATTTCATTATTTGTATAGATTTATGTTCTTTCTATTCTAATCTAATTTTTAGATATTACTTTTTATTTATAAATTTGTTTTAAAATCCATTCAAAGTTATGCCACCATTTGTATAAGATAGTTGATTTGATCATCATAAGTTTATATCTTGTGAATGTTTAAGATTAGAGCTCTTTAGTTGTAGTGCCTTGATCACCAATTTAGCACATAATATTCTCATTGCTTCTTCTTGTCTCCAAAATAAAAATATAATTTGCCAAAATTCTTCCTTAAAGTTATCATATTATTTATTAGTTGTTCTAATGTATTCCATAGGATCAATTGTATTGTTTGGTGCTTCTTTCCAATATATATATATATATATATAGTTTTGTATTTTTTCAATAATTTTAATTCTGCCTTGATAGCCTTGTTGTTTACTTGAACCTATTGAATTGTTGATTTTACAAGATAATCTAATAATTTCTAATATAACTAGAAGAGAGGTCCTCACCTCTTGATTGATGTATTACCACATCTTTGCAATTTCTCTCTTCTTTGTTCCTACCTAAGTTTTCTTATAGTCTTATTGCATACAAATTCATATTATTTTCGTAGCAAATTTGTAAAATATTTTATTCAAATTTTCGTATTTTTGAAATTGCAACTAGCTTCAAATATGGATTGCAATTCTTTCACTATACTAGATTTTCAAAACTACTAGCCAAAGAACTCAAAACTTAAAACCATAATGATATAACTGAGTTGCACCTTGCTATACACTCATGCTATGCCATTTCAAAAAAGACATCTTCTTAAGTCCATTAGTCAAAATATGTTTATTGATTACTATCTTCATTGATGGAATGTCAAAACCTTTTATAAAATAAGTGATTTATTTAAAATAGAAATGATGATGGCAAAGTAATATTGAATTTCTAAAATTAGAATATATTTCGAAGCTATAATTTTCTAATTTGAATTAGATTACTGATTCATACTTGCACTATCCAAGGTCATAAAAAGGATTTGAAGTATTAAATCATTAAGAATATTGTTGATTGCTACATGATCTATTTTTGCACACTACATCTATCACAATAAATATTACAAAATATATATATATATATATATATTCGTTCATACCAAGTCTGTTATTTGCTTTTGAAATCAAGTGAGTGATATCTTAGTTAAAATACTTTCATTGGCAAACAGTACAAAGTGGAATAGGTAGACTTAACTAAAGATTGGATGATATTTCGAGTGTCTTCAATGAAACGTGCATATTTGAATTTATTTCAAATCGCCAGAGGTCTTAAAAGCTCTCTGCTTTGCCATGGAATATTGCCATGAACAAAGGGTGTAGAGAAGCAACTATCATATACCAAGTCAAATATTTTACATATAATGTAGGTGTTACCTTCTAACCTCATAGAAAACCTCCACAGCAAATAATCTGGAGCCCAGTTAAATGCAGGAACCTAAACCACTTGTAGAGAACGAGATCGCTGCCAACATCATCAATTTGAAACCCTGCAAGATGCGCCTCTGGTTTGCACTGCACCCGCAATTCGCAGCATCCTAGAGCAATAAATTGAGACCAAGAATCCTCCAAATCCCAAATGTCAGCAAGGGTTTGTTGTAAAACCGGATTTTCCCTAGCCTTTGCAGTTCCCTATGCGGTGGCAAGTTTAGGTACCGATGCCTTCGAACGAAGTATCAAGAAGATGCCCCTGCAGTAATTCAAAACAGATATTAAAGCTAACGTCGATTGAAGATGGATATCAAAAAGCTTGATCAGATAGAAGTTTTCACTGCTTCCAAGTTTTCAGAAAGCTGAGTTTCATTAAAGAATCATCTTTGAAATTATACCCCACGAGAGCATTTTATCAGTGACTTGATCAAGCTCGCTGCCACGTGGTTGCGTTAGAATAATCGTATACTGTTAAGTCCATTTCATATCGACTGGAATCAGAGGCTCTTACCAGCACACAGCTGCCAAGTTTTGAAAAAGAACACGTAGCTGAATGGGGAGGTACTTATAATTGATCAAGCTCACTATGGGCCAGAACTGCATCATCCCCGCAACCCCACCAATGTTGGTAAGTAAATTTAACATTCGGTCCCTGTTGGACCTTGAGCATAATGTTTTCAACAGCATCTTCATTCTGATTGATGAAACAGAAACATAGTCTCGGATCTAGTCCAAAGAGGCTAAACATCATTCAATTTCCTCTACTATCATGCACTGATACATTTGAGCATTGAATTGAAAAAAGCTATGAGCATGTTACGAAAAGAAGTTATCAGGAAGAAAATGATACCCTCCAGGCATTTAGCTGCACTGATGGGAAATTCGATTTAAGTTGAATCTTCACTGACTTCCATGGTCGCCCTGAGAAAACAAGCAACAGGATGAGTTGTTATCAAACAACACTTTAATTCAACAGCTTACAGAAATACAGGAAATCACCTCAATGGTCCATACTGCGCTAGCAATGATTAAAATGTCGCTATTAAGGATTAATATAATTTTGTCCCATCTACTGCTACGTATAGGCAAAAAGTAGCCTCCAGTTCATGCGAAACGCAGTAAATGAAAAGTAAATTTAACCAAAGATGAGGAGAGCAGTGGAATGTGCCTTCAACAACTAATCCAAGGTATGTAATAAAAATAAAATTATTCCACGGGCCAGATGTCAACTGCTCCACAATCACCTGACCTCGCAAATCCACAAAAGAAAGGAAAAATTCCAACCAAAATAAATACCAAGAATTCAACCAACGATGCCAGGGTAAAAGTGCTTAAAACCAAAAGTACCGTCACTGTTGACGGTCAGATCATTATGCACAAACAGAAATATACTGGACTCGGCACAAGACTTCAATTGACCTAGCGATAGTAGCTCCTTTTCTGAAGTATCAAGTATCAGGAGGCTTCTTAGCACAGAATATTGAGAACTTTAGTCTTTTAGAAAAAAAAATGTTGTACAACATTATGATATTTTCAAGCTGTGCAAACTACTCACCTTGCTGACTATCGTCTTGCTGTCGCGAGCTGAAGGAATGAGTTTCTCCATAAACTTGTGGAAATAATGTCCAAACGGACCCGAATAACAGAAACCGTAGAGCTGCAAACCCCGAAACTCCGATGAGCAGGAAACACCTGAGAGCAGAGACAGCAAGCTCCAAGCCCTCACTTCCAACATTGATTGCTCAACTGTGAAGGTCAATTATAGCACTTCAAGTATGAAAACCCTGATTATTATTTACTTCTCTACATGATCAGAGATCGTAAAAACCAAAGTTGTATCTAAAGTGAGCATTTCAATGAATTGTATCACTTAGCAATTCACACAGAAAAGGCCTTCCAAAAATAACCATGAGAAGAAAAGCACGCTTGAACTGTAAGTTTCTCGCTCCGGCCAGCTTCTGAGCAACCATGTCAGCACTTCCTGCCAACACTCCAGCTGTAATGGCCTGCACCAACACCTTTACATGTCAAGACATCCTCTTTGATAAAGCCCCGATTTGAAACCGAAATGTAAAGCATCCAGACGAATATAAGAAATTGGTTGATTCAATAACTTATATTAACAAATAAATTATTAACTCTTCTCATTCTTCTCTCAAAACCATGTACATGCAGGTCCAAGCATCAACGGAAGAAGTAGGAGGAGAATAAAATCAAAATAAAATAAAATAAAATAAAACCATCGAAATTTCTGACACCGAGTCACAAGCTCGGATCGATATCCCCAACAAGAAAGCCAAAAGCAAGAGAGCTGCTCACTCCTATCTGCTTTAAAAAAACACTAGGAATAAACATGAAAACTACGCAGATACTAGAAATCTCATCGCGAAGAAAACACACCATACATAAGCCCTACTGCAACCAATTCACGACGATAGTGTGACCCAGTAATAGATTCGCTTGTTATAACCCCTTAATCTGAAGAACGCCACCATAGCCAGAAACACAAAAGTCACGACAAAACCATAAAATCCATGCAACGATCGTTGTAACAATCCCATCAAGGTACAACCCAATTGCATACACGCACTGGGGGGGCGGGGGGGGGGGGGGACCACCAACCGATCGAGCGATCGAGCGAGCAGCGTGGTGAGGCTTACTTTGGTGCGCAACGGATGACGCTGCAAGTTCCTCAGGTACTGTCCCCACAGCGCCTTCACTTCGTCGGCCATCGCTGCAGGAACGGCAACCGTGACTACTACTAAAGGTGTGATGCTCTCGTGCTCTTCTGATCCTCCTCCTCCTCCTCAACAATCCCGCTCTTCTTCGCCCTCCTCCTCACCCAACTCGTCCTCCTCCTCATGCTCTGCGACTCTGTCTGTATTGTTCTCGGAAACGCGGTCATGGGGCGACCCCTCCCTGCCGCAACGGGTGGGGCTATGCACCCACCCGCTCCCCCTCGTGTCCGCCGTCACCACTGCATCGCCGTCGACGCTGCCACCGCCGTTACCACCGTCATTCCCGTCGTTTCCGTCATCGCCGTCTCGCGCTCGCTTGGTCACTAGAATCCCTCACACACGCACGTGCGTAGACTTGTGCTTGTGATGTATTATTATTTTTAAGATGATGGATTCTCTTTTTGGTTTTTTGAATATTCATTCATCTGTGGTAAAGAAGCGGTAGTAAGGGTTGGAGTTATGAAATTTTTTATTAAAAAATAAAATCGTCTAGTTTTCTGGCTTGGGTAAAAAGCTTCAACATTAAAGCATAGAAAAAATTGATTTTAAAATGAATTGACCCAGAAAACTTAGATTAACACAAATAAAATTATTGAAATCAAAGGTTTTATGTATTGTGTAGAAGTAGGAAAAAATAATCGAGTTCTTTAATATGCATGTGGCTTATTTTGAAAACATGTATTTTGAAGTGTGACTGTCTACTTTTATTTTTGATATTTTTAATGTTTTTCTTGGTGTAACAAAATTAAGTTGTATATTGAAACTGAAATTTGAATGGAGCATCAGCCAACAAGATATTAGATTATTGGACTGGCCATCTTATTATCCAAAATTATTGCATGTGTACATATAGTTTTGGATTGTGAGAATTTAATTTTTTTTTCTTCAATAGAAATCTATTTCCATGACAAATAGTTAAAGCAGTGTTTTAACAACATTTAATTTGCACGTTGGTATAAATAAAAAATAAAACAATAAAAAAATAATAATAAGGATATATTTATTTATTTATTTATATAATAGCATAATTTATAATGAATTGAGAATTTTCACATTCAACAGTTTCACTAATAAACATTACAAATGAAACGTGATTTGTGATATGCCACCTTTCTTTTTTTACTCCATGAAAGTAAAATAAGCATATACAAACAATAAAAAAAATTAAAAGTTAAGTATGTCGATACCATCATTTGCTATCTTCATATATTATAATTAAGGTTCTATAATTGTAATGCAATCAACCATTAGGATCAAGAGATTAAGATTTTATTCATTTGTTATGGATGAACTTATCTAATTAACTTCTCAACTTGGATACACCTATATTAAGCATTATATCTTTACTCATTCAATCCATAGTGAAAACAATGCCAAAATTAGCACATTTTTGTATTAACATGGTATTAGAACTAGGTTCTTGAGAATATATTGTAAATTTGTTCTAAATAGACAAAGTCATTCAAGGAGGATAGAAAAGACTTGTTTTTTTCACTTCTTTTCTACATCCTTATATATATCTACAATATATAAATATGAATCTAATTTTAAGGGACATTAGTGAAAGTTAGAGAGAGCATTTAACTATATGCTATGAGGTTATAGAATTCATATAATCTTGATGCAAAAAAACAAATAGAAATTGATTGAATCATTTCCATCCATTTTCATCCATACTAAAGAATTCACAACAATTTCATCTACTAATGCAACTACACATACAATCTGTATTACAAGAAGGCAAAATCCAATCAATACAAATATATGTCAAAGACATGAACCTCAAAGAACTAAAATATCAATATATTCTTGTGTCACTCAAAAAGACTAAAAAAATCATTCAAAGATGATATAGTATTAAACTAGAATTTCTATTGTCAAAGATAAGAAGACTAGAAATGCTTGAAACAAAATTAAGGACTAAAAAGGCATTCCCAAGAGTGAAGTAGGTTTCACTCTTGCCTTTATATATATTCTTAATTAGGAGCTATGTAGTGATATCCTATAAGACCTCCAAAATATGTGACTATGCAAAACATGTATCTTAACTTACAAGTCAATTTTTCTATACGTGTACCACATCATTAGCTTGTTATACAAGCTATCAACACGTAGTTAACTTGTTGACGAAGTTTCTAACTTACTAATTCACTACAAATACATGTAAAGTCAAAGCAGTACCTATGAAGCTTCTAAGAAGCTCTTCTAAAAAATATTATGAAATAAATCTATTTTTATCTAATTCTATATAATCATATAAGTAAATATTAGAGTAAATATGTATGCCTGTGACAATATACCATCAATTAAAAATACAACCACAGTCTCTATTGTTTAAGATTGTATTAGAGCTTATTATATTATCACCTTTATGGTATGAGAATCCATTATTCTTTGTGTTATTGGTATTCTTGAACCTCAACTTATCTAAAACTAACTACAAATATTATGTGACGCCCAAAACTTAAATAAAGAGTTTATTTTGAGAGAAAAATTGTATGCAATTCGTTTATCAAAAATAAAAAGCTTAGGCAAATATTTACAAGACTCAATCTACTACTTAATTAATCAATTAAAATAGGTGTTGATATATGCAACAAAGATGTTGGTGTTTTGACCTTAAATAATTTATTAATGAGTTGGTCTACTTTCAAGCAAATTCAAATTGAAGATTGAAGCTATTTATATTTTTAAATTAGAATTATTATTATTACATGAAGAAGTTTATTGTTAATTTGAGAAAATTAAAGATGATGAAGAGAAAGTATTATACAAAAAAGTTTATTTTTAAGGCTTTGGACTTAAAAAATAAAGTTTACATCAATACTTTAGAAGAAGTTTATTTAGTCGTCATTATCAAAGAAGAGGTTACAATCACCATCAAATTTCAGTAAGTGATAATCAAATAGAATAATTACAACTTCAACTATTAAGAATGAAGAAAAATAATCTTATCAATGTAGTAAAAGATGACAATTAAGAAGAATATAAAATGAATCCTTGAACTAAAGCTATAATAAATGCTTGTTTTAATGCATTTGACTCTAACAACAAGTAGTTTTTAGACTCTAGAGCAAGTTCACATGTGATTGAAAATAAACAATTATTTACAAGATTTAAAGGTTCAAGTATATCTAATATTAAAATGATTGGATTGTATATATTGCTTATATTTAGATAAGGAAATATAACTTTTGAAAATTATTTTAAAAAATTATAAAAAGAAGAATGCTCTTTATGTTCTAGGAGTTAAAACTAATTTATACTTAGTTAAAAAAATTGTGGATTTAGAAAAAATTGTATTATTTAATTCTAAATCTTGTTATGTATTTGATAAAGATAATTTGAGAGTAATTTATTTTCTAGCTATTTCAGCAAAAAATAAATTCAACATGTTGAAAAAAAGTCAAATGATCTTTTCCATGGCTACTCTACTATCAAGAAAAGATGGTATTATTCAAATAGTCAACACAACAATAGAAAAGATAATTGCCCTAAAAATACCACATCTTCTTAAAGAGATTATTTGTCTTTTGCATAAAAGGATTAGTCACCTTAATTATCAATCTTAATATCACTTATCTAACTAGAGATTATTGGTAGAATTCCACAACTACCCTTGTAGAAAGAAATATTTGAGAGTTGCATTCAAGGAAAGATATGTAGAAAGCACTTTTCTAGGAAAAAAAGTAGCTTCACATCAAGCCAATTAGAAATAATTCATTCTAACTTATATAGGTCTTTATTATTTCTATTAAAGAATAATAATAGACATGTTATAATATTTACAGATGAATATATATGAAAGAGATGATTATATTTCATACAAATAAAATCTGAAATTCTTGAAGAATTTAAAGAATTTAAAATGTTAGTAGAAAATCCCAATAAAAGAATAGAATGTCTACAAACTGATTGTAGAGGCAAATATATGTCAAAAGAATTTTGGAACTATTATAAACAACAAGGAATTAGAAAAGAGCTTATCCCAATATACTCTCTTTAATAAAATGACCTAGCAAAGCAAAAAAAAAGATCTATTTTAAAAGGAATGAGAAGTATTAATTCTAGAATAAAGACACCTAAGCATTTATGAGAAAAAGCTATAAGAACAATTAATTATATCTAGAGCACATGTCCTACAAAAGATCTTCAACTTATGACTCCAAAAGAGGTATTTATTCATAACAAACTTAATCTTGTTCATTTAAAAATCTTTGGTTGAATGATATATTATCATATACCATTAGTAAATAAAGATAAGTTTGATATTAAGGATTTTTTTTACATAATTTATAGATTAAGATAAAAACAGCCAAATATATTTTTGCAATAATTCCATATTAAGAAATAATATAATTTCTAAAGCAATGATATTTGATAAAGAGAAGTTTGACTCAAAAATTACTTTGAATGATAATCTATTTTTAGAAGAAAATTTGATTTATTCATATTTTACCAAAAAATATTATGGAACAATAAAATAAGAAAAAATATTAGATGTCATTCAAATGAACAATAAGCAAAAAAATCATCAAAAAAATTACAAAGTAGTGACAATACAATAAATGTTTCAATACTAGGTTTAATAAAGCTAAATTGTATAGAATAATAAAGTTATAATTATTCTTTCAAAATTACTCATGGTGTTTGCAAATCCATAAGACCTAAAAAACATAACATAAGATTAGATAACTATCATCTCAATGTTTCAAAAACAATTATGATTTGTAGTACTTAAGTTTAAAAAATTACAATAGTGATTTTATAGATAGCAAAGAAATAATCACACAAGGTGAAAACATCAACTTTAATTAACCTTACAGAGATTTAAGTTGGAGAATAAAAATAGAAGAAAAAATAGAATCTATTATTAGTAAAAACTTGGATTTAGGAATAATTACTTGAAGGAAAGCAATCTATATCCTCCAAATGGATATATATATATATATATATATATTAGCTTAAGCGTGGAATTAACAACCAATCAAGCAAAAATAATGCAAGATTAATTGCTAGAAGCTTTGAACAAAGAAAAAGCATAGTTTTTTTAAAGACCTTTGTCTTTTTTAAAAAATTGTCTATAATTCAAATAGCTACAATCCTAGCAGCAACAAATAATTAGAATATCCATCATATGGATGTAAAAAATACTTTTTTAAATCGCCTTTTTAAGGAAAAATATACATGATACAATTGAAAGGTTTTATTTAACTAGGAATGAAGGATTTTTTTGCAAAATTAAGAAATCAATCTATATACTTAAACAATCATCAAGAAGATAATATGAAAGGATTGATAATGTGTTAAGAAGCATAAATATAAAAAATAACAACTTTAATGCTAATATGTATTATATGCTCAAAAAAAGTGATACAGTTAATTTCATGTTTTATGTTGACAAATTATTTATTACTAGGAGTAATAGAAGTCTTATTACTTAGTCAAAAAGTTACTTTTAAAGTAACTTTGACATAGTCAATTTCAGAATAATTAAACAATATTTAGGAATTGACTTTAATACAACAGAACAAGGTATCTTCATTTATTAAACTTAGTATGCAGAAAGCATCTTGAAACAATTTGAGAAGTTGAAGTATAAATCTGCAAAATGAAAAATATATTCTATATTATATTAAGTTCACAATGGATACTTTATCAAAAATAAAAGGTTTGTACAATAAAAAAATTTGAAAATATAGATTAGAGATCATATTAAAAAACACAATGTTCAGTGAGTGCGTACATTATTTTAATGTGAAGAGTACCTATTAATTAGAAAAATAAGCATTGATTAACAATTTGAAGGTCTTCAACCAAATCAAACTACTGCGCTCTTATCAACAATGCACATGAAGCAATTTAGCTTTACAAGCTTTTCATTGATTTGGAATGCCAATATATAAGAAGCATTCCAATTTTCCACAACAACAAAGATATCATTTCTAAATTAAAAAAATCTAGTACAAATAATATGAATAGATATTGCAACAATCAAGGTTCTATTATACTTGTGCAAAATCCAATTTTCCATATTCAAACTAAACATATTGAGATTCACCATCACTTTATTTGTGAAAGAGTTTTTAGAATTTAAATTCAGTTATACTATATTAATACCAATCATCAATTGATGGATATTCTTACTAAGTCATTATGTATAATTAAATTCAAATTTTATTGAGAAGCCTTAGATCGTCAAGGCTTATCTTCATCAAATGCAGACAAATAGATCAATTTCCCATCGATTATTATTGGTTTATTATCTTTGGTTATTATTAATAAATTATTTTTTATTACATGTTACTAACAAAAGAACAAAAAGATATTTTTTTATTCCATTATGAGTACATCCAAGATTCAATTATTACAAATATGTTATGGATAATTATTACTCACATCCTTCAATTGCAATACAAGGAATATCAATCAGATCCTCTCTTTGTCAGCCACTCCTTTAATACCTATTAATTGATATCAACCTCAACTTGCATTAGAATTACATCAAAAGAATATCAAAATTCCATTGTACTGCAATAATCCAAGCAAATTTGCAAGCATGCCATGATGTATACTTCAACACCATAATTGTCCACTATTTAGTACAAAATAACAAGAAAAAATAAATGAAACACAACAAGTTTCAAACCATGGCACAACATCCAAATTCTTTTGCAACTCAATAATTCCAAATCCAAATTCCTTCCACAGCTCAACAACCTCATATCCAAACATCCATATTTCAAAAAATCTCCACTCAAAACCTCACTTGATCACCCACTCTTCACACTACCACAAAAGTCCAACACATGCAATTTAGATGCAATCGAGACATTGCAAACAACATTTGAAATGAATTGAAGGAAGAATGCAAGAGAGCTACTTATATATGTACTCAAGACCAAGTCTAAGAGGGGGTGTTGATACATTCATCCATCATCCACTATCTTTTTCATTAGGATTAGGGTTTTGTAATTGCATTGTAATAATCCATTAGAATTAAGAAGTTAAGATTCCATCCATTTGTGATGGATGAAATTATTTAATTAACCTCTCATCCTGGGCACACCTATATTAAGCATTTTATCTTTATACATTCAATACATGGTGGATACTATGCCAGAGTTAGCACATGCTTACGTTAACATCACAATACCGAGAGCTCGCAAAGTATTACGCCAAAATTTGGATGGCGAGAGGCCAATGAACTCCAACATGGAAGACTGGCGCGGCAACGAACGTTGACGAACTTTGACTGTAACGATGGACGTTGACGAGAGTGGACGAATGCAGTCACCGTCTCATCCATCCTTTGGATGAATAAATGGACGGAGAAAGGTCCTGGTTGCGGGGGAGGCGGGGCGGGGACATGAGCAAGGACGAGGGGAGGGCGGGGCTCTGGTAATTCCGCCACTTCTTCTGCTTCGGGTTTGGGTTTCCACTGTGATCATCGTCACTGCCACTTGAAGCAGGAGCAGCGGCACAGGTGAGCTCTTTCCCTCTTCCGATCGGGGAACGGTGCCCTACGTTTCTATTCCCGACCCCTGCATGCCTCACTTCGCATGCCCTGCCGACGCCGTCTCGCGTCAGTGTCCCAACTCACAGCTTGATCCGCTTGCAATCGGCAATGTCTGTCACTCTGTGAGGCGTATGACTGTTGATTCGATTCTTCTGAAGGTTTTGCGGTGTGGGTGTCGGGGTTTTTGTGGAGTTGGGTTGCAGAGGCTTAGAGGACGACTTAGTGGAGGTGTGTGCCACCCTGTTTGTACCTCATCGGTTGTTGTTTTGGTAAGAGGAGAGGGAGCAGTCATGAAGGGTGGGCGGAGGCAACGAGCGATAGGGCAAGCAGTGGTGGCACTCATGACGGTCCTCATGAGCATGGTGGTGGCGGATGCGGCTGCTGTGGTGGATGTTTATAGAATGATTCAGTATGATCTGAAGGGGAATCCGATGGGTTCTCGCCGTGCCGCGCTCAACCATCACACCGTCTCTGGATTCGACGTGCAAGGTGCTGACCTCTCGCGGGCTGTTGTTATCCTGCCCGCGCTTAAAGTCAACATCAGTTCCCTCGATGGTATGTCGTCCTGGGATCCCGTGGTGGGTTTTATATTTCGAGATGTGAGTTTGGGGAATAGCATTGTGTGGTATCCCAACTGTCACGAACTGCAGGGTTTGGTTAATAAACCCTGGACTGGTTTTGCTGGTTCAGAGTTTGTGCAGAACAAAGGCCTGCTCGGGGGACTTCTCCTGCTACTTCCGCAACGATCCGATGAGACTGGTGGAGCAGAAGGCGATGATTCAGATGAGAAGGTTGCGAAAGCCCTCGCGGAGCTGGAGCAGTGGCTTGTTCACAACACTTTTCAGGTATGCTGATGAATCTGCTGTCCGAGGTGACATTGTTAATTTTGAAATGCGATCTCTGTGACCTGAGCTGAATCTAGTACTTGATCTGCCCTGCCTTTTAGTTTGTGGGAAGATCAAAGAGTTCCGATTTGTGTTAATTTTATCGTAATCTATGGGACTTTATGGTAACTCGAGTAGTGCTTTTCTAGGTTCTGAGTTGTCTTGGTGTTACAATCGAAATATTGAAGCTTTTTAATGAGCGAAATTATTCTAGTCTCTTCTGTTGGCTGAGAGATTCCGCTGTCCAGCCTCGTGCCTTGTTTCGTTGCATTTCATTTAAAAAGCCATTTAAGAATATATATCTATTCCTTCTTTTAGTTTCTCAGCAGAGTGAGCATAAAATAGCAGCTTTTGAGTCCAGATATGTTAAAGATTCTATTTCTATTTAGCTGATCTGTTCTATGTTATGGTATGATTCGCAGCTCCTTTTTTAGTGGCTGTTTTAATGGTGGATGGAGTGTTAACCTGACCTTTTGCATGCAGTACCCAGTTTATTTTGCGTATGAGGACGAGAACCTGCTGAAACTCCTCCACGAAGTTGCCGCCAGTGATGCAGCCGGCAGGCCTGCCTCAGCTACCAATGGAGGGTATGCTTATATTAGCTTAAATCTTGGCGCCCCGTAGAAACTCAGGAACACTTTTCTGTCCATACTCAGACGCAAGTGATGTATGGCGACTTAATATTCTTGTCTAGGACATTAATAATGGTTGTCTGGTTGAATAATGTTGATACTGCGTTCCAATTTTGAGGTGACTTTACCCAAAGTCGTGGCTGGGAAGATGATGTGTGTATATTATTATTTTCAAACGAGTTCTTCATGTTAGTCGGAATGTCATGCAGTTACAAGCTGGTTGTTTCAGCGCCGGAGGCGAAGAAGTTAACGACGCCAACGATTACTAACATCCAAGTATGGATTTGCGGTGAATTGCATATGCAAGATTAGAAATGTAGCAGTATTCCAAGACTCTGTATAAAACCTTATTTTTTCTTACTACAAGGTTAATTGCACTGATTGCTAGTGAATGTTACCTGGATGTTCTTATTCATGCGGTGGCAATAAATCGGAATCATACCTTTCGTGACATCTTTAGTCGCACTCGAGTGATGGATTAGTCTGGATGTGCAGGGATGGTTACCAGGACTGCGGGCCGAGGGTGATAGTTTGATGCTGCCAACCATAGCTATTGTGGCTTCGTATGATACCTTTGGAGCAGCTCCTGTAAGCTCTATTCTAATTCCTCACTTTCTACATAGACGATCCACTTGCTTAAGATTGTGATTAGGCGTGGTATTTCTACGAATGTGGTCGTTTTTTTTGCTTGGCTAGATGTCAATGTTCAAGTACTTCCGAGGTCATTTGATTTCTGAACTGGATGAAATAGTGTGCAACTTTATATGTACGTATTAAGACTTCTCATTAAGAATTTCTTAAAAAAAATGGTGTAAAACATTATTTTTATTGGTGGTTGCAGGCACTTGCGTCAGGGAGTGACAGTAATGGAAGTGGGGTTGCTATGTTGCTGGAATTGGCTCGGTTATTTTCACGGTTATATGCCAACCCCAATACGCGAGGTCGTTATAATCTGCTTTTCGGCTTGACATCTGGAAGCCCATACAACTACAACGGCACAAGCAATGTGAGTTTTTTTGTCGTAATTTTAGTGGACATGGAATTATGTCTTTTATGACTGCAATACTTGGTGAATATTGATCTTTCTTTCTCAATGAATTTTATCTTTGTTGGACGACACTACATGACGCTCTCTATTTGTGCGTGTCTTATCGAGTGATAATATTGTTGTGATTGAGCTGGCTGAGACTTTGTGGGTTGTACTCACTTGTTTAACTTTGCCGTAATCATCTAACGTTCAGTTATGGGTGTTCGTTTATGATATGCAGTGGCTTCGAAATTTCGATCAGCGATTGAGGGAAAGTATGGAGTATGCGCTGTGTTTGAACTCCCTTGGTTCTTCAAGTGACCGCATGTTGTTGCACGTGTCTAAGCCTCCTGAAAACGCATTTATTCAACAGATATTCTCTGTACGCACTTTCCAATTCATAATCATTTTATCGATGTAATATTGTTCCTAGATTTGGGGTCTAGACGCTGAGTACATCAAAGACTAATATCTGTAGTAGAGGAAGATTTAAGTCCTAGGCTTTCATATTAATTGAAATATATTGCAGTTTTGGAAAATGAATCTCAAATACTTAAAGTAGCCTCTAGCTGTATCCTTGTTGTATCCTTGTTGCATTCTTGACTGTGAAGTATTTAGTATTCAAGCATTCTGGACTGCGGGTCGAAGCTGACTTGAGTTATTTCGCAGGAGATTGAAAGTGTAGCCAAAGACTCTGATCTGACTGTGGAACTCAAACACAAGAAGATAAACATTTCCAACTCGCGAGTAAGCTTCTTCTTGTTTCGTTTAGTTAGATATTATTGCTTCGCAGAATTCTGGAAGTCACTGATGTGCATTGTGTGGTTTCTGCGCATGTTTGAAATTAGGAATTGCGCCTTGTAATTTGTTGGCTGGTGTTGCCTTATATTAAATAAGCCTAACCATTGGAGGGTGTGCACCCTGCTTCATTGAGACTTTGAGGCGTGTGCGTCCCATAACATGCTCTGTGAATCAATGCAGGTAGCATGGGAACATGAACAATTTTCTCGACAACGGATAACTGCTGTAACCTTGTCCCACTTGGAAGAACCCCCGGAGTTGCTCCAGCGAACAGGAGGAATTGCGGACATTCGGTATGCTTTTCGTTTTCCTAATTTGACTAAAGTTTATCACAGGTTGAATTCGCCATTCTCATATCTATTTTATTGTGCAGAAGGTCTGTGAACGAGACAGTCGTGTTAAGAAATATCAAGGTTGTCGCAGAAAGTTTAGCGGTAATGTTTTCATTAACATTCTTGACAAACCTTCTGCATTCTCAAGTAGTATTTTCCTCTGAAGTGTTATTGGTATTGATGAACCGAAATGCTAGGGTTCGTTCGATTTCGGGCCAGACTGAATTTTTTCTTTCATCCTTGAATATATAAATGGATGATCTCCTTGAGCACGTTATCCTCTTCTATAATAGAAATGTAGCTCATAGTCGTTTGGTCTCAATCCCGTGTAATCCCGGTTGTCTTGTTTATCAAGAAAGTGCTTGTTTCCTCGGAGATTTCCAGTAGTGCTGATATTTGAGTGATTTGATGTTGCTTGCAACGCAGAGGCACATTTATGGTCAACAAGGGAAGCAGGTGGAACTGTTTGCAGCTGGAAGTAACCTGGCGCTCAATCCCTCTTATGTGCGCTCGTGGCTTAATTTGTTGGGACGCACATCCAGAGTGGCTCCTTTTCTCGGAAAGAACGCTCCTATTATCAATGCCTTGCACAAGGTACGCTATTGTAGCTGATTGTAGAGATCTTGGAAGCATGTCTGTTGGTAAACACTCTGTTACGCTTCCTTCAGTACATTCTCCCTTGCAATCGTAGTTCGTGTGCTTTCGCTTCCCGAAATTGAGTTGTCAATAGGTCAAAATTTTTGTTAGGAATGATGTAAACTATTCGATTTCAAGTGCTATAATTTGCGACTGAATCACTGAAACGTTGCGAATTCCGTTCTTGCAGGAATTATCGCAACATACAAAAGATGCCAGTTTACAGCATGAGACTTTAGACTCAACATTTTTGTTTTATGATTCGACTAAGGCCCAACTTAATGTGTATCAGGTACGTACGTTATCCATGCTTTTTATGTCCTGAACCTCGTTTGATGATCTTGTTTGCAGTTTCTGAATTTGCAATTGCAGCTTTTGTTTCTGAAGTACCTGTTTCTAAACATACATTGTGTGGATGACAGGTGGCCAGTGTAACATTCGATTTCATTGTGGCTCTTGCGGTGGGGTCATATTTGATGCTCCTCTTCATTGTCCTTTTTATCTCCACCAAGGTATGTTCTCTAGCTTCGTGTAAGTTGCGGAAAAGAGATCCTTGTAGCACTTTCGGGACAGTAACCAGCTGGTAATCTTGCTAAACGTAAGTAATGGAACACGGAACTTACATGGTTGCGCGCTACGGCCAAAGTTTGGAAAATAGTATGATAATAATAATAATAAAAATCTCCAGATTGTTCGAAGTGCTGATTGCTTCAACTTGTGTTATTTTTCGCTATGACGTAACTTCACTGAATTCGCCTTATTTTTGTGCAGGGTGTGAAAGATTTCGTCGGGATATTTCGCAAGGCACCGTCAAGAAAGTACAAATCAACTTAATAGGCCGCAGTTATCCATTTCACTTTTTCACCTGTTTAAGTTCCTTCACTGGCATGAGAGACTTAACGCACGTGGACGATTTTGTAGTGGTAGTCGGGTCGACTGCTGAAATGCAAACGGGGCCCAGCTTTTATGGATGGTTGTCAAGAGCTCACTCTTTAAAAAGTGCAGGTTCTTGGCACTGATTTCCTCACCAGGCCGACATGGAGTTGCTCATGCCAGATGTATTTGACGCTGATCTGGGTCATTCTTAGTGCGCTCAGAATCTTTTGTGTATACTATTGGTTGCCTGCCTGGTGGGGAACACATGGCATATGCAATTTGAAAGTAGCCATACTTAGGAACTCTGAAGAAAATGTGTTTGTTTTGAAATAGCTGTTACTGCGTGCTGTGTGCAATTGAGTTGCTCTCATTCGCCGAACTCGTCTTCCTCAGTTTTTTTCAGCAGATAAAAGAGTCATTTCCTTGAAGTATGCATTACAGGTAGAGACTCTTCTTCGGTAATGCACAATTCGTAGGAATTTCAGTCATCTCGTGTTCTGACAGTCCCTTCGATTCTTCAGGAGCTTTTGATTTGATAGCCACTTGGTGCAGTGCAGTGCTGATATATTCTACACAAAATATACTGTGAATCATAAAACCTGACCACTCAACGTAGATAATTTACTGTGGGGGCCAGATACTAGGGACGGAATCCTTTCTCTTCTCCTGAATTGATCATGAAAATTTCAAAACTATTACGGTAAAAGCAGTTGAACAGTGAAATTCATATGCCTTATTTGGAATCCCTGATAGTTACAGTATATATTATCTGTGATCAGATAGTATTTTTAGAGCTACATTTTATTGTATTTATTTCTTGGCATACCAAGTGTGAACCACTCGGGCGAGAGTTTCCATCAAGCACGGAGAGATTTCACGGCTGGTAGTCGCACCTCGAACCACGGCACTCGCTTTGGGTACCTCATTGCCATCACCTGGTCGTTTAGCGTTATCTCGGACCCTAGAGCTACATTTTATGAACCGTGGTTGTATGCCAAGAAACTAGGGTAAAATTCCAGGTGGAGTAACCTGCATCCAGCATTGCCAGGTAGCAACGACTGCGCATTTAAAACAAAAGAGTGATTCTTGAAAAGTAGTACCCACTTGCACCTGTCAACCCATGTATGTAAACGAGTACCCACTCGTCTGAACCGAATGGTTACCAGACATCAACAACCAGCCAAAATGAACTTTTTTAGAATCCGCACCTTGAAGTATGGAGGTCGCCGACGTCGCTAGTTGATTTAACCGGAAAACGGAGGTGCAGCTTTCTATCCAATTTGCATCACTCTGTGCTTCTTTACTTTTATTATTATTTTCCTAAACCCAGTTGCCGTCAGGAATCGTTCCACGGAGGCGTTCACCAAAGTTGGCCAACCCAGATACCCGGTGCATTGGGATCGTCGCCGCTTTGTCAGTTCTAGACACAGCTGACGCCCATCCTGAATCGGCACATCCGATCCCTTATTTTTTGAAGTGGGTGGAACGTGGATGAGCTGCCGGAGACGGCTGGTTGCCGAGGTTACTTCAGCATTCCGAGCGAGAAACCAGGTTCCGAATCCAGGAGCGCTGACTCCCACACACCGCCGCCTGCCTGGCAGGCGCCGAGGAATCTCGCCCTCCGACCTGCAGGAGATACGTAGCCTTCCATATTCCCACTTGGACGGAATGTGAAGCCCAGAGACCTGCGCAACTTGGGTTCTGGATTACCTATTTTAAAGTCGATGTCGGATGCTGCGTCGTGGATTCGGCTGCCGTTTCTTCATTTTCCATGTGGCCTCCAATTGTTCTGTCATTTGGTTGATGCGCTGTTCTGCTACAGTGATCGTTCGGAGGGCATTGTTGAACCGTGGGCTTCTTACATTATGTACTAGCTCGTATTAATCTTGGATCATTACTTCAGTGGTCATTTGAGTGGTTTGTCATTCACATTGTGATTATTAGTTATTGCAATCACAAATGACTGATTACATGTTATTTCTTGTTGTTTCTTACTCGTTTCTTTTTGTTTAGACAAACTGATTGCAGAAATCAGCCCTAATCCATAAAGACTACTTGTTGAAAGACTTGATTGAATCACGTGTTGTTATTTGATGACTGAAAACATGTTCTCAGAGAATAGCTGTATATAACTATACATATATGTACTATTTATTGTATCTATGTACTATATATATACTATATATATATAATCAACAACAATGTGAATGAACGTGATGATATTATTGATCATGTTGTTGATATCACAGAACATTAAAAAAATATTAAAAGAAATAAAAATATTTCATTTCATTCAACTGAACTGTACATTTACATTTACATTTTCTTTTCCATCTATGCTATTAAAAGAACGAGTGTACATAATTGAAGCGGGAGGGGTTACAGTTACGTACGAAAAGCCATCAACTCCTTCTATCTATGCAAAATCATCACGAACCCGAATACTTCACCACACATCTTCTCAACTGCACAGTGAAACTGAAAGCTCGGAGTTGTTTAAGTTTTTAATTTTCTACATTTAATCTCAACTAACATGCACTTCAAGATAGAATTTTTTGAGATACCATGTTCATTGGAATAGAATGAAAAACCGATTGCAGTGAACGACAATATGTAAAGGTTTCAGAAAGGAGCTAATATTATCAAATTGTGATGATTTTTTCAAGTGACTGCACAAACACATAGTCAAACAAACGAAGGTTTGCTGAAAATACTCGTAAATTTGTTTTGTTTTGTTTTTTAATGGGAATTCAACAGATAATTTCTCGGTGCATGATGAATGCTAAAGTTGCCTGATCCAGAGTGACTTTCCAGTTTCTGAATGACGTGTTCAGTTTTCGGGATGTCTGGTATGAGAACATGCACACTGGGTTTGCACCGCAATTGTTGCTTGTCGGAGAAACGAACAATTTGCGGGTGCTATAGGGGAATGCCCTCAAGTAACAATTCTAAACCAGTGGGAAAGAGAAGATTGCAGCAATGGGAACATTGCAGAGAAATCAGGCAAAGATGCGGCTCAATAGCCAAGGAAACGGGACGAAGTGCGCGGCATGACGAACTAGCTTAGGACCCACTTCGGTAGACCTGGAAAGCGCCTACTGGAGGACTCGCCGATGAGCGGGGCGTGCTCTCCTCGACCCGGATTCGTGCCTGTGCATCACATGTCAAAGTTCCGGGCAGCTCCGATATCTTCTCTAAGGGCAGAACTTATCATATATGCTTGAGTTATAAGATATACATATATGTATAGATAATATATACAAATGTAAACGTAACATTTAAGAATTCCACTCATGTCATAGATACTACTGCTCTTTCAATTACAGTGTCTTGTAATTGTCAGGAAGGAATACAAAGAAATTTGGGATAAAAACAAATACAGATAACAACGTGGACTACTCTCACGTTCTCGACTATGCCCACAACACCCAATATCCACTTCAAAGCCCGACGACGTCATTTAGAAGCTGGGCGTCGTGAATTACTGTACTATCCAGCTTCCATTTCTAAGTTATGATTTACTCATTTCTGTCAATGAAGCAATCTCTAGTCGTGTCACAAGAAGAGATTCTCGACAGATATCCATCTGGATGGGTAATAGGACGTACAAAGATTATCTGAAAGCCCTCAGAAAGACAACGCCAATTTATAAAACCATCCTCTGCCAGCTAGCTCTGTGCCGTTCTGAGACTAATTATACATCTAATTAAGTTTATTTCTGTAATTAAAAGGGAACTGTAACGTGGATTAAGCCGTAGGAATGTATTTGGGCGATTGAAGATGCTGGGTGCGAGCTCCAGCAACCGCCTTACATCCATCCCATGTCAGCGTCCCTCTCAACCATGCTTCTCGACCAAATCTGGAGTCCAAACAAAGAACAAAGTTGCTAAGTTTGGTCTACTAGCTGGGGATTCGATTTTCGTCTGGTCAGCCTAGGGTGGGCCAAGGAATTCCCTAGACTCATCTGCCATCGGTGGAGATGTGCACCTATATTGACGGTGACTGTGTCGACAACGGATCTCGTCACCAGGATATAGAAGCACAGCAGTGCCCGAGGGTGGTCGAGTTCGCCGTCGTTGCACTGGGATCCGTCTGCAACGTCTTGTAAGTGTGCGTCGCCCTGTATTTTTGTTTTTCCTGCAGGGCTTGTGGAAGGTGTTGTCATGGATTCGTCGGTGGATTCGAACTACGTAGATTTGGAAAATAATGGAAGTTTGGTTCCAGCGGTGTTGTCGGCGGGCTTGAATTTATATATGAACATCGCCAGTCTGTGTAAAGGTTGAATGCGCTGAGAGGTGCATGTCGAGGTACCTCTTTTCACTTATTGTTGAAGTTCAGTTTAGATGAAGTGCACTAGGGCGAGCAAACGTTTGCCGTCACAAGAACTGGTGCTGGTAGGGAATTGCAACGGACTCAGGATTGTCTCATTTTGAGGACTACGTCTGTAAACGTGGGACGTCGGCTAGGTGGGGTTGACAATGTCCATTGCGACTCAAAGTTCTTGCTTGCCGTGCTTGCCTGATTCAACCAGCCTCCTTGTGTTGAGAAAGTCTCTCTGGTTGTTTCGAAATGAATCTTTTGATAGGTTTTCAAAGTTAAAACATTTCCATGTGACTTTGATGTATTGCGCTTTTCTCTTCACCCATTATGTAAGCGCTTCCACCTTGTATCGTTTTCCAACACGGTGAAGGTGATGACTTGCAAGAGTCGGAAGGTGGCCTGGATCATTCGAGTAGACAACTCTCTACTCTAATTTGAGGCGTGTGTGAGACCGTATGGTTCTTGTCAATGGTGGATAGAATCGGAGAGATGTTATCTGCCTCGCAGTGTATTCACTCCGAAATCTATCACTTGCTTTGTGCCTTCCTCAATTGTCTGAGTGAAGCTAAATCTGGTGCTCCTTTGACAGGGCATTTGAGTGTATCCTTTCTAAAGACCGTTTTATCGGTGACTTGTTTTAGCTCTCTATGTGAGACTCTGGTAAGCGAAAGTAGCAGATTGCGGCGGTAAAGGTTGGGGGAGCCCTATGTCGATTAAGCATGTTCCGCTTAATCTCACACCGAGCTTCGGTTTCATTGTGGGCATTCCAGCAGATCGTGGGAAGACCAAGGTGGCACAGCGCTCCATGAAGGTGATCTAGATCTGGGCACTTGCTACTGAGCGAAGTTGGTGTTCAACTTGGCGCTAGAGGCTACCACAATGGAGAAAGGGGGGACATGGAAAAGACGGATAATTGGCAATTACAATTGGGGTTCGTTGTGCATGCCAACCCCTCCGTGGAAGGATGGCCGCTCTCTTCCTCCTTTCTTCGGCAAGGATGAAAAACTCTCAGTCCTAGTGGCTGTTGTGATGGGCCTTCAACACGCTCTCGCCATGGCAAGTTCTCCACCACCTCTTACTGCGTTTTGGTATTTTCTACAGAAGTATGCTCTTCACTAATTACGAGATATGGCGGAAGTATTACCGACTCCCCGCTGTTGTTTTTATTCTGTAATGTCTCGACCTAACCTCTGTACTATTGACGTCCGAAACAGGTCGGAGGAATCATTACAGCGCCGCTCTTGATTGCAATGCTCGGGTTCAAGCCGGAGAACCAGGCCTGTAAGATCGCGAACTCGAGCTCTGCATGTATCCTGTGCAATATCTTCATAGATATTAATGATCCTCTCTTCGAAGCTGTTAGAACAAGAGTCTCAGAAAGATCGTATGCTTACACCGAGCTCTTAACTTCTCCGGTTGATTTCCTGTGAATTGTTTTGAAGGAAGTCGAGAAACACATGTCGTCTGAACTAGACATGGTATTGTGACGTGCTTGATGCAGACCTGGTGTCGGCGGCGCTCATCGTCGCAGCCGTGGCCTCGTTCGTTCAAATAGTACAACTCAGGATTCCTGGAACGCGTTATGTGATCGGGTCAGGCATGTTGTCAGTGATGGGCGTATCCTTCTCATTTGTCCCCATTTCACAACAAGTTATATCAACGCTTAGTAAATGTGCATGTGCGGGGGTGCCCTGCACTGTAGGAGGCACGTGTGGGGCATGTGCAGGTCCACTTACCGGAGAATGCCTCACTCCAGAAGCAGCCTACGGAAAAGTTCTTGGCACCGTAAGCACTACAGAGAACTCTGTACACTACCTTAGTAGCTAAATTCTTCTGATGCGCTCCAAACTTGGCATTGATCAACTGTTCTCGAATACGGTTCCTCTGCAGGTTTTGGTATGCTGCTTCTACCAGATTTTCGTGTCATTCGTCCCGTCGCGTGTCCTGCGTCGGGTGTTTCCTCCAGTTGTGACGGGAACCTGCCTGGTGCTTCTCGGAAGTGCGCTCATTGGAGCCGGGTTCGCGAACTGGGGCGGAGGCATTTTCTGCAGCAGCCAGGTGTTGACTACCAAAATACCCTGCAGCGGGAATGGAGAAGTAGTGCTGGCTTTCGGGCATCGTGTCTATCTGGGGCTTGGATTGGTCGTCTTCTTCGCTATCATCTTTGCTGAATTGTTTGGATCCCCGTTCATTCGAAACATCGAGGTCATCGTCGGGTTGCTCGTGGGCATGATTGTTGCGTCGAGTGTGCACTACTCGTCCTGCGATGAGACGGGTACATGCAAATCATTGAGGTGTGCTCCTTTTATCAATCGTCATCCGCCATGTGGATCATTTGATTTGGTTACTGTAACGATCGGTTACTGCATGATAGAAGTCCCACATGGTAGATTCGCTGGTTCTATTGCGCCGTGAAAACTTTTTGAGGAGGCAGTGAGAAGACTGGGATATGGCTGTGCAGGTTCGTAACAGGTCAGCAAATCTCGGACGCCAAGTGGATCACCTTCTTATGGGTGAAGCGGTTTCCGCTGGGATTTTACGGACCTGCAGTGCTTCCCATCTTATTCGCCTTCATGGTGACCACAATGGAGTGCATCGGCGACATTACCGCCACCGCTGAGGCTAGCCAACTGGAGCCTGTTGGCGAAAAGTTTGAGAAGAGTATCCAGGGAGCTGTGCTTGCCGACGGCATCAACTCCTTTTTCTCAGCGCTGGCAACCATTACACCTGTGACAACATACGCTCAGAACAACGGCGTTCTGTCTCTCTCGCGATGCGCATCGCGGTACGCTGGATATGCTTGCTGTGTTTGGCTCCTGATACTCGGAATTGTGGGCAAGTTTGCTGCCATCATCCTTACCATTCCGAACTGCGTCTTGGGCGGCATGACCACGTTCCTCTTCACCGGGGTGGTTGTTTCTGGTATCCATGTGCTGAATCTCAGAGAAGGTCTCAACCGCCGTAATCGGTTCATAGCCATCATGTCTATCGGCGTCGGAATGGGCGTCACTCTTGTTCCTGCTTGGGTGAACATAACCAGCCAGTTCGTGGATTATCCTTTTGAAGGAAACTTCTGGCCTATCAATCCTTCATGGTCTCCTGCCTTCCGAGGTATGCACAGCGTCTACAGTGACACTGCCGAACTGTTTGTCATTACTCTGTTAACGAATCTTTTCTTTTCGTGATTAGTACTAATCTGAAAGCTAATCCCAATCGTATGTGCAGGTTTTAGGGACTCAATCATCATTGTCATGTCCAATGGATTCTCCATAGGAGGATTCATTGCTGTTTTCCTCAACCTCATCTTACCTTTCGATAGGAACGATGCACCGTCCGGGTGAGTTATTCATACTCTTCTGCCCATACTACACTTATTCCAAGTTCCGCAACGATGGGTCTATTCGGTCTGTTTTATTACAAGAAGATCGTCTTTTTCCAGTCACTGACCTCGATCATGCTCTCTTGGATTTTGTGGTCATGTTTGCGATGCAGAATTGAGGAGGAGAAGACACCGGTAGACTACATGGACAAGAAGCATGTTGAACTTTAGGTTCTGCAGATTGCATCTACACGAGATTTCAACTGCTTGGAGTTATAACTTAAGTTGAGTGAACTGTAGACTGTTTGTGAGCACTGGACCAGTGGTTGATACCTCAACTCATGTATGTACATTGGGTACGAGCATTACTGGAGCTTTTCGCTTGCTTTCTTTCCACTAGTTTGTCACCTTCGGTCACGCCACCGTGAACATGATCTTCACGACATTCACAGGCCATAGAATTCTCGTCGATCGGAAGCAGTCGGTGGCTCTGACCCCTAGAGCGCGAGCTAGAATTCCATCTCCGGAAGCTCTATTGAGAAGGGTGACAAGTCAGCCTCCAGATCCATTAGCGTGTGCATCTTCTACAAGTCATTAGGATGTGGACAGATCGAATTTGACGTTGTCTGAACTCCCTTTGTACGGGAATTCTGTTTCCATTAAAAAAAAATTATGTGCTATAGCTTACCGACAAGTGTACAAGATCGTTAAAACTATCAAATGCGTCGACCTCAACTTCCAAGTCATCTCCATATGATTGAATATTCAAACCTGATTGCAGGATGCATTACGAATCCTGTTTGGAACTGTGCGGACAGATAATTCTCGTGACCATGGAGAAGATTTGTCTAAAAATGATTGTAATTCGTTTTGAACTATAGATCTCTAAGTTCGATTTGTTGATACAGTAACTCAAAGTAATATACATCATGAACAAATTTTCAAAATTGAAGTGCAGAAAAACTTCAAGAAAAAAACTGCGACAATTTCGAAGCGCCAATTTTATGTTTCTGTATATTCAAGATTCTGTTATGTCTTCCAAGACGTTCGATGGAAAGGATTTAAGTATATATATTTTTAAGTCACTTGTTATTCACTTCTATAGAGTTTCATTTTTATTTTAAACACAACCGGGTATATCTGATGCATTGCTTAGTAAGTATTAAGTACAAGACATTCAAGCACCTAAATCCCAAGGAATAGGGTGGTAAATGAAGTAAATCTATGTATTTCTAAGAGTAAGTATTAGTTCTAGTATGTATAATAATATCATTGTAAGGAAATTTTAAATTTTACACCATTGTTTTCAATCATTTGCTTCATTATATCCTAATAATAAAGCAAGGCTTTGCCATTTTCTACTTACTTTTTTAGTTTGGTTTTTGTGAATTTCTATTTTATTCTACCATAGTCCACAAGGCTTGACCAAATTTTATAACATATTCTTTGATTGTTCCAAATTTCACTATTTAAAATTCATATATTACAAAGGTATAATTTCTATACCTTTGTAATATATGAATTATTTTAACATGGCTTTTTTCAAAGCTCATAAATCAAATCAAATATTTTTCCATTTGAATTTATAATTCTCTTTTAGTTTTTCACTATATTTTTTTGATGCAAGATTTTGTGGCATGATGAATTAGTTGTTGGTGTATATATTAAAGTTGGAGGATTATAATTGAAAGATATAATTTGAAAGGACTTCTTTTGAATAATAAAGGCCTATCAATCATTGAATTATATCTTTGATAGTCAATGCCAAATATAACTCTTTTCAAGTGTTAATCTAATAAATATATTTCAAATGATTTATTATTAGAAGCTAAGTTGAATTCTTGGAAAGTTTCCTTAAAAGATTTAAAGTAATTGATTGTTTCTTTGTAATCTTTGTTTATACAAAATATTTATTCTAGTCGAAGTGATGTATTCATTAATAAAAAAGAAGTCTTTTACCATTATAAGAGTTACATAAAACTTCTAAGAAAGAAATTAGAAATTTAGATTGAAGTTGCGAGATCTTTTTGGTCCATGTTCTATTTATACGCAACCAAATTTTGGATCCCCTACTCATATCTATTTAGAAAATAATGACCATGCACAGTCCAAATTCCATTTGTTGAGATTTTTGAACTCTTAATCTCTTAAATAAGTTATCATTGACATAAAAATTATTTATTTAATTAATTATTTATTTACTTTTTATTTTTAAACCTTCATATCTTATTCATGGTAACTCGGATTTATATATTTATTATACCATTGGAAAGATAAAAAAAATTAAATTTTAAAAAATATATTTTTTACTTTTATTTTTTATTTTAAACTAGATAAAAACTCAATGAATAGACTATAATTAGTTTTGTAGTATACAATTGCTTGATTGCACTTTTTTCACTTTTTTTTGTGTTGTTTTCCTTTTGTTTTTGTTCTTGCTTCTTCCACTTCACACCACCAATTACAAAATTTTTTTAATTGTGGCCATTTTGTAATTTGGATTGAGTAGTGAATTTTACACTCATATTAATTTATAGGACGTGTGTTTAATTTATGAAGTAAATTTCTTATATGTGTACCACATGACAAATTTTTACTACAAAAGGCCAACATATGTAGTATGTTGCCAACTTGTTCGCAAAGTTTTCAACCTACTAATAAGCTATAGATCTATATAAAATAAAATCCACATCTATTAAGCTTTTAATATATTTTTTTTACAATATATTATTATATTTATATACTTTTACTTATTTCTACCTAACTCCCCTTATCTAAAAAATTCATAGTGTTGGTTATATCTATAATATTATTTCTCTTTTTAGATATAAGTTCTATAAGAAACAACTATTTTACGTTGAATCTGTATTACAGACATACATATTTATTCTAATATTATCTAAATAATATGAATAGATAGAAATAAATAATAATAGGGTAATTTGATAATATTTTATAGAAAAGATTCTTAAAAGCTTTATAAAATATAGCTCATAGGTAGATAGTATATATAGAAACAAAAGTGAAGCATTTTTTTTTTTATTTTTGTCAATTTTTTAATTTATTTTAGTCTAATATCAAGGATCTTTAGTTTTCTTATTTTTTGGAAATAGCCATTATAATTTTTTTAATATATACACTTCGTCATTTTTATTTTGTCATCTTTCTTTGAAAAAAGTATCACTTTTTTATTTGCTTTCATTAAGTTTTTGTTCTTGAAAAAATGATAAGAATATATTTATAATATCAGAGATTTGTCTTTTCTTGATTAAGAGTGGATTATCTCTTTTTCTTGACAAGACATAAGCATATTAGAAGTTGCAAGTTATTCATTGCTTTTAATGCATTAATGTTTGTAATGCATCAACTCAATTTATCAAGACAAGAAACAATAAGATTGGTAGAAAGTGAAGATATAGAAATGATTGGAGCTATGTCAACATTTACACCAAATTATATTATTCATTCTATAACAGAACACTATTTAAGCATTAGAGAACCAAGAATTTCCTTTCTTGAGAAGTTTGATGGTATAAGATCAAAATTTCAAGGATTTATCAATCAAGTATAATTGGCAATTGAACTTCAATTTTAAAGCTATTCAACTCCAAGATCCTAAGTCAAGTTTATTAGAAAATTATTTTTAAGTTTTACTTTATCATGATTTTTATCCTTTTTTAAATGACGTGATCTAATATTAGATAATTTAAAGGCATTCTTGATAGAGTTTTAATTCATATATGGAAAACATGATGCAATTCATATTTCAACCAATAAGATCTTTATTTTGTGTTAAAAAAATTAATTTATAATGTTATATGCTTTATAATTTTATTAACTTTCAATTAATATTAAGTAGAATAATGTTGCACTCATTAGAAATTTTTTTCACAAATTATAATATGAGGTAAAGAAATTGATGCTCAACTTACTTGATTCTCAAACATTGAGTCGAGTGATTTATTTTATTATGAAATGTATCATTGACTTTTAAAATTTTGATCTAAAAGTTGTACAAATAGGCCTAAATATTATTATAATTCATAGTACCATCTACATTTTTTTAATACATATATTTGAAAATTAAGGATATATAAATTAATGTAATATATTTCAAACCTCTTACAAAATAAGAAAAGACTTGTTATTGTCAAAAAGAAATATGCTTATATTATAAAAAACTTAAGCATACTACTCAATATTATCCAAAGAAGCAACACAATAATAAAATAAAGAATATGGCTATCAAAAAAGATAATATGTTGAAAGAAATAATTTTCCAACTATAATAGGGATCATGCAACTAAAACCTTGTACAACACTTTATAAAGTTTATATTCTCTCCTTAGTACCCTCTCTTTGTTTTACAATAGATGTTAGCTTAAGACTTAAACATTATAAAGCTTTTATCTTATTAGATTTATGAGCCTCAATTTATTTCATAAATGAAGCATTTGTTAAAAAAATAGCATATCCTTAATAAAGAAAATTAAATTTAATCATGTAGAAGTCATAGATGGTCGTCTATTGTCTTTTAAAGATATTATTCATGAAACTATTCTTATAGAAATAGCAATTAATGATCATAGTAATTTTATAATATTTAATATTATTTTATTTTCCTCTAATCAAGTCATTTTAGATTTATTGTGGCTAAAAAAATATAATCCTAGAATAAATAGGATTTTTTGTAATTTAAACTTTTTTGAGAATATAATAAAAAAAATTGTTAACTAAGTACAAAGTCATAAATCTAATGCATCTAAATCTGCATTTATAGGTGCACAAGCTTTCTTTCATGTTATAAAAAAACATCAACTTATGTTATTTATGCTATACCTATTTTTAATAGTAGAAAGTATTCAAGTGGCATTCTAAGCCAATATTAAAACTATTAAGATGCCTTTGAGAAGAAGAATGTAGATACTCTTTCAAAACATCATTTTTATGATTGTTTAATTGACTTTCAAGAAAGAACTTAGTAGACATTTGGACCAATCTAAAATTTATTACAAAATGAGTTAGTTGAATTCAAGGAATATTTTAAAGAAAACTTGGCTAAGAATTTCATACACCATTCAAAATCTCCAATATGAGCTCCTATCTTGTTTGTGAAGAAAAAAAATGGATTATTGTGGATGCTTGTGGATTATTGAAGACTTAATAAGATTACTAATTAAAAATAGGTACCAACTACCTTTGATATCTCAATTTTTTGATCAACTAAATTAAATCAAGATCTATGTAAAAATTGAACTATAAAAAGTAAATACTCTAATATACATCAAAAAATGAGATGAATAGAAGACTATGTTGTTGTGTAGTAACATGACTATATGATGAAAAATAAAAATATGGATGTTATTATAGAAAGAACTAATAAAAATATATAATAAAAAAATAAAGATAAATGATAGAAAGGTAGTAAGAAATTTAGTCTTAATATTACTTTTTATAGAACAAATTTCTATTTACTTTGTAAGAACATAAATACTTCAATTCATAGTAAATAAGATAATTAAATAATATATTCATCTTTAAGAGTGAATTTATAATAGATTTTTAGCATAAATTTCTTCAAATTATCAAAAATTGATATCCAAAGAGGACCGATTATCAACTTAGATCAAAATCAGATCCAAAGGCATAAAACTGTGCACCTATGGTGACTCTATAGTTCTTTTATAAATCAAAGAGTGGAATTTGAGAGGAGACTTGAGAAGAAATTTTTTTAGAATT